AATAGGGATGACACAGGGCATCAACATGACCAATCAGGGTCTTAGCTAGAAGGCCGTGTTACCATGGCCATTAAATGGAAAACATGACTAGATAAAACAAACGTGGCTCATTATTTATATAAAGCTGTGCAGTGTTAATGCTACTTACAACATACAGCATTTCCTCCTATTTATGTCATAAGAAAGTTTGTAAAATCTAGTTTGTTGAAATTAGCAAAGTGATCAGTGATATTTTTATGTTTTGATGGATATAGGCAATGGGGACCGTATGGTTTTAAAATGGTTTTAAATGCCCCAAGACTTACTAAAATAACTTATTTAAATGTCAGTGTGAATTCGTAAAATGACAGTTAAACTTCTGACATGATATTGGAAAAGCAAAATCTTTATCTTAGCCAATCGTGAGCTTAATAGTTACCAGTCCACTCTCGCCTTGCACTCGCGTACATGCACACAACGTAGAAAACTGTCCAGCATCCATGACATAATGGAGGATGACTTTACACTTGCAATGTTTTCAAGAGGCGACATTACTTGTTTTTAAAACAGGGTCGTAGACATGGGGAGGAGGGGGGGGGGGACTAGCAATAATCTGTAAAGTTTGAGAGGGAAATAATGACCTAATAATCACTCCTGACTAATCAGCCCCCCCAATACAAAATTGCTTCCTATGGTAGTGTAAAATCAGATGAGCAACCAGTGGCGTAGCCAGAACGATAATTGGGGGGGGGGGGCATATTCATATATTTGTGTTCTGCTTTAGGGAGCATTCATTTTTTAGCTGCGGGGGTGGGCCGGAGGAATTTGGGGGTGGGTCAGCCAATTTTGACATGCTTCAAAGGGGTGGGTCTTTTTATAGTTTTGGTATAAATGGAGGGGGTCATAAAAATAATCAGTGAAAAAGTCACCAATATAATTTTATAGAATTTGGAAATATTTGGATGAAGAATGGTAAAAAGGTCTAGAAACTATCAACTATCTCGTCATCTTTAACAAAGAAGCAAAATTCGTTTGACGCTCTGTTCACACAGTCCAAAGGAAAAAATTTCCATGACTTTCGTCAATTGACCTCGTTTTTATCCGTTTTTGTGTGAAAACATGAATGAAAGAAAACGCAGGACCGTAGCATGATTTCAAAATCATTCATGGTTTCAAGGTCTGCATGCATTTCATCATGACCTTTATCAATTTTAAGCTTTATTAATTTTAAGCGGCTACATTATCCATGACAAACTGCAAAGAATGAAGATAGTACCCACAGTTTCCTGCAACTTATCCTAGTTATCCAATATATAGTTAATTAAATACGTGTTCGCCCATTTAGTACTACCAAATTGTCAATTTCGACATATTAAAACGCTGTTTTCTGACCATCAGAATTCTGTCAAATCTTCCCCAAAGTCCAGGAAATGGCATTTCAGAGACTCTAGATTTAAAAATCAATTGCTTTTATGGTATGTGAACACGAATATATGAATATGCCCCCCCCCCCCAATTATCGTTCTGGCTACGCCACTGTTAGCAACATGCATACCTACCCTGACAGGGCCTCATAGTTGCATTAGCAGAGACAGGTTGGAACTGCAAGCTGCGGATGAGCCAAGAAAACTACGAGTTGGCAAATATTTAAGTGTTTACTATGAGACTAAATTGAGCAAATACTAGTAGTTAATTCCATTGACTCTGCTGAGCACAGTTGCAAGCAAATGCACGTTTCATATTAAACCTGCTATGGCTGCTAAATATCCGTTCTGATGCCAAAGTACACCGAAAAATACGTTGTCTCGTGTGGGATTCGAACTCCCATCTTCGAGTTTCAACTTTCTAGACAGCCGAATTTTTCGTTGTACACTTGTACTCAGCAGCGTCACAATTTTAAAATATGAATTCAATTATTCAAACTAGTTTTTCATGTCTCTGATCCGTAGTCCGTAGACACTCACACACAGACACACTTATAATTTTATAAATTAAATACAGATAAAAAATTCTAACCTTGTAGATCGTATAGATTTTCTGTTACATAAAAAATACAGACATAAAGGACGCAGATGTTCTGGCGAGTCGACAGAGTTCTAGCATTCTTTTCAATATGAAGTAAGATGAAGTACTAACTATGTAACCGTTTTTGTAATATTAAACCATTATTTTGTAAATATATATATACCATACCCTGTAAATTCATTTAGATTGCTCTGAAGATGTTGTATTGTAAACAACGAAACGTTAGCTATTTGGAGTATTCTAAATTACGCCAACACAGAACGCAGGCTCGCGTCATGGCCATGTGATCACCATTGAACTATAAATAAACCATATTAATATAGTTCAATGGCAGGGCCGTAGCAACCGGGGGGGCTGCACCCCCCCCAATAATTTGCTAATAATCATTCTTTTTTCAAAATCATGCAAACTTTATCATTTAATCTGTGACAAACTGCAAAGAATGAAGATATTACTCATACTCCAGATCGTTCCTCGCGTAGAAATTTTAGCTGAATTTCTGTCGTGCATTTTCAAGAAAATCCCACAAAATCTGCACATTTTTGATGAACTAATGATTTATTTTGTCTTTTGCGTGTTGGGTCTTGCGAAAGAAAACTCTGAAAATGCCATTTCAGACCATCTAGAGACTCCAGATTTTCGAAATTTTCTCAAATGTTCTGCCTTCATTTCCGCGCAACTGCCATTTACGACGAAAATTCCCGCCGCGCATTTATAATACTACAGTCTGGCCCATACTTTCCTGTAAATTTCGACATACTAAAACGCTGTTTTCTGACTATCAGAATTTTGTTAAATCTTCCCCCAAAGTCCAGGAAATGGCATTTTAGAGACTCTAAATTTAAAAATTTCCTCGGGCCTTCGGCCCTCGCTTTCAGCCCTCGCTTTCAGCCCCCCCAATCGAAAAGAGCTTCCTACGGCCCTGAATGGTGATCACAGAGATGGTGGTGGTTTATTTATAGTTCAATGGTGATCACAGAGATGTGATGGCGCGCGACATGACTATCATTCTTTTAAAATTTTAATTTTTTTGTGCAAAAGAGCTTCTAAGTAACTGACTAAAAGAACTATTAATTTCTATAATGTATAAAGTAAGTATGTTATTTTGCAATGCAGTTCTGTTTTTGCCGATATTTGACTATTTATTAATATAGTCATTTTATTAGTTGAAATGAAATGAGTTCAAATCATACAGTTCGCTCTTGGAAATATTTTTTTCTTTTTTTAAATAAATTTGCCATTTTCAGTTAATTATAAAATACGGTAATCTTGGAAAGATGTTAATTAAGTGGAAAACCCGGAGAACAACGCCTATTAAAGTCATAACATGTTTAGCGAAAAAATACAAAAACAAACTTGCCAGGGCAGGGGTCATCCTACTGAAAAATTTAGAACTGCTGCTCACTGATTTCGAGAAGAATTAAACAGATTGTGAGATGGTGAACCATATGTAGTGAACACAGGCTAACCCCATAAAAACACTGTAATGTTGCCATCTTTAGTACGTACGTTATTTGCGCCTGGGTACGAGGCTGGACTAACCCGCATACTGGCAACCCAGCAAATATATGTATTCACTGATTAAACTGCATTAAACGCTTAAAAATGCGTATATTTAAAGTTCGTCCGACTTTAAATTTGCTATCAAGAGAGTTATCAATCTCGTTCCCTGAGCCTGCGATCCTTGGGAAGGAACGCGAGGCTCTGGGATAATCCGTTGCCGGAAGCCAAGAATTCTGGCTAAGATTGAACTACGCATTCCATTTCAACGGCCAATCAGATTCCTCCCTGAAACGGATTATCCCAGAGCCTCGCGTTCCTTCCCGAGGATCGCAGGCTCAGGGAACGAGATTGGAGAGTTATTAAATTGCTCGACAAACGTCATCGTCAGAAACAACCTCGTACCCAGGCCCTCTTACCTTCGCACGCCCTCCCACTGCAGAAAGACCCTGGTTGGGGCTGGTCACGTGACACCCCAAAATCTGGGGTGTTTTCAATGGACCTTTCCCCTTATAACTAAAATTTCGATCTAGACAAAAATTTCATCACAGCTTAAAAGAGCATCACAAAATTAGTAATATTCCAAAGTTTTGTTGCAAATTCTTGTAAAATGCGGATAATATAGCCTTGCGAAGTTTGCCGTTTTTCAGTCATTTTGTATTACAAACGGGAAATTGACATACGATTCGGGTGTTGGGACTGCAATTTCCCGTGTGTAATGCAAAATGACTGAAAATTGCAAACTCCGCAAGGCTCTATTTTCCTCATTTTACAACATTTCGCAACGAAACTTTGGAATATTACTAATTTTGTGATGCTCTTTCAAGCTGTGATGAAATATTTGTCTAGACTTGCCTAGATCAAAATTTTGGTTATAAGGGGAAAGGTCTATTAGCGTTTTAAAAACACTCAGGGAGGAGTGGCAAGGAAACTATTGCTAATGTTGTCAAATGTAAAAATAAACAAAAGCAAAGGCATGCCTGTCAGCACACTTTTATCCCATAGGTAAGACCCTGGGTACGAGGTTGCATCAGAAACACCATCAACTTATTCAGTTATTGGCTGCTGAAAAATCGGAACATTTCGAAGAAAGTGACCCACTGATTGGCCGAAGTTCCGAATTTTCCAATTTTTTAGACTACGACGTGATATGATGCGTTATCGCACGAGGCGCGAGCTTCCGCATTTTATGCAGATTTTCTACCGCTATTTGTGCATGATTTAACGTGAAACTTTGCTGGATTTTACGTAAATAAAGAAAAGATCTACCTGGAACAAGTAAATTTATGTAAATTGCAAACGGTCTGGAAATCATTTGCAATTGAGAACTTTGATTAGAACAGTTTTGAACTGGGTAATTGGATTCTTTCAATTGGATTGAAATTATATTATTATATTATAATTATTATTATTATTATTATATTATTATTATTATTATTATATTATAATTATTATTCAAACATTTTGCGCGTGCATCTTTTCATTCTACCTGTAAAATGAATCTAAAGTATCGTAAATCTACTGGATGTCCTTCGAACAAGATCGCTTTCTGGCTGGTGACTTTGGCCGTCATTTGGATATCCTCTAGACCTGATCCGTGCTGCCATAACTGCGTGAATACAGATTCTGGGTTTTGTGATGTAATCAATGCACGATCGATCAATATCAGTCGTTTCACTTTGCTGCCTGTTTTGGTTAATCGATTCCGCAAGTTCAACAAACGTGTTATTGCTCCTCTTCACTGTCATCAGTCCACTTGGAACAAACACGGTTATCTATGTTTATCACCTCCTGATTTTGATCCCGATATAGATATAACCATTTACATGGATATCGCCACCAACCCTGGTCCTGTTCCACCTAGTAGAACTGACAATAACAATCTAAAAATCCTGTATTTAAATGCTCGAAGTATAAAGTCTTTCGTTTCTATTGACAACAACTCATCCAACAAAGTTTGCAAAATAACTTTACTTCAAGAATTGGTTTATGGGGATCATTACGAAGTGGTCTGTATCTGCGAGACGTGGTTAAACAATACTATCCTTGACTCAGAACTTCTTCTGGGCTTCAATATCTTTCGACAAGATAGAATGGGTAAGATCGGCGGCGGTGTGTTAATTGCAGTAAAAGAAGGCTTACAAGCTACTCGGCGTTGTGACCTCGAAAGAAATGGTATTGAATTATTGGTTGTACAACTCAATAAATCGAACAATAAACTGGTCATTCTTTACGTATACTATCATCCTCCTGGTACTTGTTCTGACGGTCTTAATCTTTTAAACGATTCACTGCTTAGTAATCCGGAATCTAGTTGCATCGTGTTAGTTGGTGATTTTAATATTCCGTCTATCTCATGGTCAGATAATAGTTCAACTCCAAATAATTCTGGTGGACGTGCGAATGGGGACGTCCTTTGTGAACTTATAAGAGATAATTTTCTGCATCAATTTATAGAGGGTCCAACCCACCGTGCTGGTAATAAGCTTGATCTGTTGTTTTGTAATCGGGCTGAGACGATATCAGATGTACTAACTTCTCCCTCTAACGAACACAACTTCCCAACCGATCATCACATCATCGAATTCAGCATATGTACGAAGTTCACAAGAGCAAAACCTGTGCGACGTGTGGTTTATGACTACAGACAAGTTGACTTTCCTGCACTACGTAGAGCTCTGACTGAAGCATATTTAGACATACCTCTCACGCTGTGGAAGGACAATTTTTTATCCATCGTCACCAGTTTTATTCCAACTAAGATTGTGAAGGACACCAGCTCTCCTCCCTGGATTGATGGCGAAGTTCGTCATCTGATACGTAAGAAATATACTGCTTTACGGAACTATAGAAAGAACAAAACAGCGGAACGAAAACTCAAGTTGCGTACTTTGTGTCAGCAGATCAAGTATGCAATTAGAGCTAAACATAAAATATATCTTGCGAAGATCGAAGCATCGTTCAAAGAAAAACCCAAAATATTCTGGAAATATCATAAAGCAATACTTAATTTCCGTTCCGCTCTAAATCCTGTTATAACTTTTAATAACCATATAGCGAAGTCTCCAAGAGAAAAAGCAGAACTTTGCCATACATATTTCTGCTCTGTGTTTCGTCCAACTAAAACTACCGTGAACCCTGAAGTATCCACCTCTTTGCCGCTGACCTCTACCCAATTGTCAGATATAACCATCTCAGAAGAAGATGTTGTGCAGCATCTATCAATCTTGGATCCATCTAAAGCCACTGGGCCTGATGGCATTCCCGGTCGGGTTCTAAAGGAATGTAGTTCTGTCATTGCTCCAAGCCTTTGCTCACTTTTCAATCATTCTCTTCATTCTGGAACTGTACCTTCTGAATGGAAATCCGCTAATGTAACACCAGTACATAAGAAAGATAAGAAAGAACCTGCTACCAACTACCGACCCATATCACTGTTATCCATTATTAGCAAAGTCTTGGAGCGATGCGTTTGCAATCGATTTTACGATCATGTTCGGGAAATAATCAATAAAGCACAGCACGGTTTTCTCCATGGACGATCATGCGTGACACAACTTCTGTCCACTCTACATCATATTGGATAATTACTAGACAGAAATATCCAGACAGACGTTCTTTTTCTAGATTTTGCTAATGCCTTCGATTCCGTTGATCATGGTATCCTATTGAAGAAACTGAAGGCTTATGGTATATCAGGCAACCTTTACAATTGGTTCACTGACTATTTACGTGGACGTACTCAGCGTGTTGTTGTCGAAGGTGTTGCTTCAGAATGGTCTCCAGTCACCTCAGGTGTCCCACAGGGGAGTATCTTAGGCCCCATGCTTTTCCTTCTATTCATCAATGATCTCCCTGATGTAATACCTCCAACAACTTCAACAGGGCTGTATGCTGACGACACAAAGCTGTATACGGCAATAACATCTCGCCAGGATTGCGATAATCTACAAGGAGCTTTGTCATACGTTGACGATTGGAGTAAGGAATCCAACATTAACTTCAACACGTCTAAGTGCAAAGCCCTGACAATATCCCGACGTAAACAACCGATTGTGTTAAATTACCATCTTGGGTCCGCAGAATTGATACGCGTAGATAGCGAAGTTGATCTAGGGATCACCGTTACCAGTAATCTCTCCTGGAATAGGCACATTACAAAACTTGTTACGAAGGCAAATTCAACGCTGGGTTTATTACGGAGAACTTGTCCCATGTTAACGAATTGCGATGCTCGAAGAACTTTATACCTGTCACTTGTGAAATCACAACTATCTTATGCCACAGAGATCTGGTCTCCGTATCAGTCGCTTAACAAAATTAGCTTGGAAAAACTACAAAGACGCGCCACGAGATGGATCCTCCAAGTGAAGAAAGGTGACATTACATACAAAGATCGATTGCTGGCCCTCAACCTACTACCGTTAACATACGATAGAGAGATAAAGGATTTAACGTTTTTCTTCAAGTTATTGCATGGATATTACGACTTAAATGTTTCTGATTATGTGTCCTTTGTTAGTCATTGTCGTACTCGTAATTGTGAAAATCCTTCTCTTATGCTTAAAGTTCCGTCGTGTAAAACAAGTACTTTTCAGTCGTCCTTCTTTAATCGTATCGTCCCTCTTTGGAACTGTGTGTGTAAAGCAGCCTCGCCTGCAGACCTTCGTAGTTTAATTATGTTTAATAAATCGTTTTTGTCAAGAACGTACTTACATTTAATTACTACTATTTTTGATGTAGATATGACTTGTACCTGGTCATTACATCGAACTTGTTCATGCCATAGGAATTAGTTCGAACAAAACATATGCGTATTGCTTGTGTTTCACTCTCTATGTTCTCAGTTCACATTCTTAATTGTGAGAGAATTTAAAGTAGTTGGATTCTCATTTAATACTAAATCCAAAAATTATTAAGGTGCCTTTGCGCATAGCGATTGGTCGGGCCGATTTGGCTCAGGCTGGATTCAGTTTTATTTAAATAAACTTGTACAGAAAAGAAAAGTTTACTACATCCGAAAAACTTTGGCTATGGTGCACTTCTGCGTTCTGCCTATTCTAAAGACCATGTTAAACAGGGCTATCAGTTTATTACTGCAATTTGTAACACAATTTCTTGCAGAGCCATATATATAATGCATGCAGAAATGCATTCACATAAAAATTAAACTACTGTTAGCATGTATGGTCGATATTTCACCCTCAAAGTGCTTACATATGGAACGAAATTTCACGTCATATTTTATGAATGCATAGTAAAGAAAATTCAGAATGACCAAATAATTTCGTAAATTACTCGCCTCCAAAGTACGTATCTACGAAAAATCACTTGTATCGATATTTAAACAAAGTTTAATGACATATTTTCGCTATCTCAGTATTAAAACTAACAATAAAAATTAAAAATCTCTCCGAACAACAATTTTCTTGCTAAGCATTAAGCAAGCACATGTGAATGTAGCCCTGCTATTGGCTGAATTATGGGCAGTTTACTTCTGGTCACGCGAGTGTTCGTCACAATCTCCGACAATAAGATACTTTGTCAAACTCCCTTCGCTTGCTTCATAACCTTCTTCACTATCTCGCATGCGCACATTACATAATGATTTTCTGAACTAAATGTCAACGTCAATTAGATCTTGGGATATCGTACATCGAAATCATAAAACCGTGTATATGTGTTATGTTAACATACTAGAAATATATGTTGCAGGCGACAAATTTTAATCAATTTTCTCTAAGAGTTTATAAATTATATCTTGTTAGTCACTTTCTCTACAACGCAGTCATTAATTATAACTGATAAGCCTTTGATAATATTATAATTATAAGTCATGGCTTTAAAACCTTTCGCATTCTAACTCAGTTAGCCTTCTCGGGCTTCTTCGCAGACATCTCAGTCGGGTTGCTTTTAATCTTAAGAATGTTTTGATGTTCAGGTCAATGGGGAACTCCAACTGTGAGTCTTGCTGGTGTATTTGGTATGCTAGCGGGAGTTATTGCTGGTGTTGTAGAGTCAATTGGAGATTATTACGCATGCGCAAGGCTATCTGGAGCACCACCTCCTCCGTCACACGCTATGAATCGTGGGATTGGTGTTGAGGGCATTGCATGTTTTCTCGCGGGCGCTATTGGTACTGGAAATGCAACTACTTCGTTTAGTGAAAATATTGGGGCTCTAGGAATAACTAATGTAAGCTAGAGAGACCTAATTATTATATACTCTGTCCATGTTTGGCTAGATTTCAAGTGGACATCAATTGGCTACATTTACAAGTGTTATGCCACTCAAGGTAGCGTCATCTCAAACAGGTTAATTTAAGTGTTCGGCACGAGTTAAATAGTTCGCCATAGCAATCGGTTGTGTTGTTCCAAATGATCTTTAAAGAGTTCAAAATCGGTGCTGCTGTATAATTTGTTCCATCAAGCACAGGTCGGAAGCACGCAATGATGTCACAAGTGAAGCGGTACAAATCTGGATCTGCATGGAAAAAATAACATGGCGCCCAAATTTAAAAAAAAATCTTCAACTTTCGTAAGCAATTTTTCCTTACCCTTTAATGTTTGGGCAGAAATAATTTAGGAACAGCCTAATAAACATAAGATCTTTACATTAAGCACAACTTTGTTTTGGGACTGGAGTTCCGGTTTGGCAGGCTACAATACATACTCGCAGATGGCAACTATATCAAACACTGTATTTTTTTATATTACTACATAACTGTATACTTGCAGGTTGGCAGCAGGCGTGTCGTCCAATTTGGAGCATTATTTATGATAATCTAAATTGGAAAATTTGGCGCATTATTTTCTACCATTCCTGATCCTGTGATTGGTGGAATCTTCTGCTGTATGTTTGGTTTAATAACAGCAGTGGGAGTCTCTAACTTGCAATTTGTTAATCTCAATTCTGTTCGAAATCTCTTCATTATTGGTTTTGCTATCATTATGGGATTGGTTATTCCTGATTATCTCGGAAAGAATGAAGGAGTTATTGACACTGGTAATCTATCTAAGACTGAGCCTAAGATATTAGGAATTTTACAATAATCGAGTTTTCTGAACTGATCAATAAAAGGAAATCCTAAAGGGACTGAACGAAGTCTGTCCTAGTTTGCCCAGACGGATAATCCGTCTTGTCAAACGCGTACTACAGTGCATGCTTCGAATAAGGAAAAAGCACGAGAATATCACTTATATGTTATTATTTACTTTCAATGTGTTTTTATATAGGTGTTGATGAATTAGACCAAATATTTACGGTGCTGTTGAAGACCAGTATGGCTGTTGGTGGAATAATTGCTTGCCTCCTTGACAACCTCATTCCCGGAACACAAGGAGAAAGAGGAATTAAGAAATGGCGTAATCTTGCTACTGGTCAAGCTGTAAAGAATGTTGCTTCTGTTCATGTTTATGACCTACCATCTGGTGTTGGAAATAAATGGAAATTTTCTAAATTTGTTCCATTTCTACCTTACTATGACGAACCTGTAGAAAACATAGAAACTGCAGGGAATGCTATGGTTAACATGGCGGCAGATACACCAAGTGGAAACATCTCAGAAGATAATCTCTGATCATTATGACCACACCACAGTGTTATGTACTTTTATTTTTTAACAGTGCTAAATTAACCTGAAGTGACCTATGTATGTAATTACTCTGTGCCTAGGGCCTAGGGCTGGGCCAGTAGGTAGTTGTGTTGACGAAGTAGGTGGCTGTATAACTACAGTACATGCATGTACTTTGACAGCCAGACAAATGAAACAACTTTCTACATATTGTAACTAAGAGTTTTGTTTGATTTTACGATGTCAAGCCCCAATAAGCCCCAATCAGTAAAAAGGTGATAGTGTTGAGACACAATTAGTTAATTAATGTAATTTTTTTCTTTATAAGCACTTTTGTGGCAACAATGTTTAAATGTGATCATTGTGATAATACACATTGGTAAAAGCTATGTGATGATAACTTTACGACCAAATTTACCCAAATCATATAACACATAGAATTATACTGTTATGGTTCCCTAGACTAATAACAATAACAATAACAATAACAATAACAATAACAATAACAATAACAATAACAATAACAATAACAATAACAAAAGTTATACTAGCTACACTAGAAATTCAATAAAATTCTGCTAACTATATCTACATTAAAGTCAAGCATAAAGCCCATTTTTCATTTGGCGAATTTGTTCGTGCGAACAGTAAAAAAGTAGGAACTGATCCAACTTTTTCGCGGCGAATTTTTGCGCTAACCAATCGCATTGCCAAGATTTGGTTTTCGTTTCGCTTCGAGCGAACAAATTCCCCTAGTGGAAAATAGAGAATCGTCAGGTTGGCTTGAACTATAATTAAGAAAGCCGCTGTCACGACCCAACTAATTTACACGCGAAGAATACATAGCCCATTATTACAAAAATACAAGCATTGCACGTTGCTATATGAAGAACTTCTTTTTTATATTTGGTGCCTTGAAAAGGAATCTGTTATAAAAACACGTATATATAGGCGAAAGTCGTGAAACATTGTATAAAAATATTTTAAAACTCGTTTTTTTCTTCTTCAAAGTTACACGTGACGTTTTTTTAATGCAATAATTAATTACATACGCGACGTTTTTTCAATGCAAAAATTACACTCGCCATATTTTTAAGAGTTACGTTGTTAAACTGAGGGCTTCACTTCGGATGAAGATGGGAGCAATCATAAGGTTAGTGTTTTTCATCAAAACAAAAAATCCTTTAAATACAGTACAAAATTTCACTTTTCAGTCGGTTATGAATATAATGCATGGTTTCCTTTCGTGTTTTCCAAACTAAAAAAATGCTTTGCGTATTTCAGCGTTGCATGCTATATCGCTGTGCCACATGTTGTTGTGACACACCTACCATTTCTTGTTGATTTTGTTGCATCACTGCAGGCGTATATATACGATGGCAAGACACATATATTTATATGAAGAAGTGCAACAAGTAAAATAATATGACCCTGGCAAAACACACAAAGCTTTTGTTTTGTTTGGAAAACACAAAAGAAAACAATGCCAATGCCAAATTGGTCAATGGCAATGCATTATATTCATAACCGACTAAAAAGTGAAATTTTGTACTGTAGGCCTATTTACAGGATTTTTGTTTCGATGACTCGGAAACACACTAACCTTATGATTGCTCCCATCTTCATCCGAATTGAAACCCTCAGTTTAAAACGCAACTCTAAAAAAACGGCGAGTGTAATTTTTGGAAAAAACGTCGCGTGTAATTATTGCATTGAAAAAACATCGCGGGTAATTCTGAAGAAAAAAACGGCGAGTGTAACTTTGAAGAAAAAAAAACGAGTCTAATGGTAAAAAAAGGCGAATGTTTACAGTCATGGCCCTTCTCAACCATCGTAGCATATGCCTCACTACAGTAGATAGTATAAATGGGAAGGGTTAAATCGGTGCAGAAAAAAGGGGAAGTGGAACATTGCCACTCATGCATACATGCATGGAAGCCATGGATAAGGTGTTTTATAAAGCATGCATTGCATATTTGGAGCGACATTTATAAAACAATCATATCCAAAAACAGCAAGTGCAATTCTAGTGGTTGAAAAATAATGCAAAAATAGCCATCTGGCACATCTTTAGTCATAAAACATTATACATCACTGTATATACTATACATACGTGTATTCTAAAATATCACTCCATTGAATGGTGGGAGGGTTAGTGCAGTCTCATACTTAGTGAGGATGAGTGGAAACTCATTGAATGTTGAGTTACACTTATTGCGGAGAGATTGAGTGTGAGGTAGGTTTTAGAATACAGGCGATAGTCTTTAGTTTTTCATTTTCTACATTTATATCTTCTTTCCAGTGGAGCTGAGGAGCTGCCCTCGCCACACGCCAAATGTTGTGGAACGTAAAGTGCGATTTCATGTTTTTACCCTTAATTTGAATAATACCCCCCCCCCCCTGGCCACAGTCAGTGTTGTTTGGGATGTTTTCTGCTTGGTATAAGCTTCACACAATCTCTTTATTGGCACTAGGATATCAATATTGGAAAAGGGGGCCGGGGAAGTTTCTTTTTCGCGAGATCTGTGAAAATATTATAACTCGCGCGCCTTTATATCTATTAATTAGCTTGCGTTCCACAAACTTTTGGCCATGATTGGAGCTTTTTCCTGTTTCCCTGGGTGAAGCTAATCGGAATGATAGGATTTAGTTTTAGAAAACATCAACAGTTTGTTGACACGGTAAAATATACCCTCCTTATATATCAATATACTATCTATACTGGAAACATCTTCCACCTTCTATATATCTATGTACTATCCATCAATAATCGTCAGACTCCTCAGCAGAACCTTCGTATTCACTTTCATAATTACTAGAGGTTGTTGACCACACTGTCCAAATATCATCCAGGGTTACTTCAGGATTAATTAGATATAATATGATCTGGAGGAATAAGAAAACGATACACACTATACTTGTGATAATTGCAAATCCAATGAATGATTTGGTAAAACCAGAATATTCGAGATAATATCCACCAAGTATTGCACCACAACCTGCACCAAGGCCCCAGTATATTCCTTGAAGGATTGCTATACAAGGTCGAAATTGATATTTTAATACAATTTTAAATAGTTCGTATAATGCAATTTTCATCACTGCACGTTCCATAGGCAATAGGGGCTCTTCCAGTGCGGAGATTACAAGTACCCTCAGGAATATTTTATTAGGCCATTTAATAGATTGACTGAAAGTACAACCACGGCTGTCCACTAAACGCAATCCATAACAAGAATTTTCCAACCGAATCAGGGTTTTTTTCACAGAAAAATAAAAATAGTCCATACAAGTGAATTATAGAAAGGGTGAATTAGATTGCTTTATCGCACACAGTTCCCTGAAAAACACTCATATTTCATTTTCATTATGAAATATACGCAATAAGGCCAAAATAGTGGGTTCAAATTTATCACAACAAATGTTACCACTGCACATTCTTTACTGTTTATCACAGCACACTTTCACTTTAACTTATCACTGCACAAGCACAAATTAGATTTAGTCCACTGAGTGGACACTAAAATTAGGTCCAGCGTCAAATATATCAGGTAACTTGTCCAGGTTCGAAATATAATCATATCTTGTGATTCTGAAGACCTAGACCGCGAGCAGTCCCTCGGGAGAAAGGAGGGACTGCCGAAAACACATCAACAAACGAAATACGTGTTGTCCACACAACGCAAAATTTCCATTGGTCGAAATCGATGTGCCTGTCAATCAAATCTGATATGTAGTAATTATGCTACAGGGCCGTAGGAAGCTCTTTTCGATTGTTGGGACTGAAAGTGAGAGCCGAAGGCCCAAGAAAATTTTTAATTTTAGAGTCTCTGAAATGCCATTTCCTGGACTTTGAGGAAGATTTGACAGAATTCTGATGGACAGAAAACAGCGTTTTTCAACAGAAATTTACAATTCAGTAGTACTAAATGGGCGAAGGCGTATTTAATTAACTACTTTATTGGATAAGTTGCAGGAAAGTATGGGTAATATCTTCATTCTTCGCAGTTTGTCATGGATTAAATGATAAAGGTCTGCCCTGTGCTATAAATAATTTCCAGACTGAATGTTGATTTTATAAGATGAAAATGACATTTCCTATTGAATAGATTTAATTGGATATATAAAGTAATGTTTATGCAAAGGCGGAGCCAACTTGACAAGAGCGAAAAGTGGGCGTATTTCATTTCTTGATGTGTTGTCGGCAGTCCCTCTTTTCCCCTGGGAAGATAAACCCATGGAAAGGAGGGACCGCTCGTAGTCTACTGAAGGATTCTAAATATCATTTTGTACCACGTGTTTCTTATATATGATTTTCGATATTTTCAGGATTTTCTCAAATCCAATTGGGGGGATGATTTTCCAAAATATGGATGATTTTTATTTTAGGGAGGTGGGGCGATAAATAACTTTGAAGGATTATTGCAAAAGTGAACGAATTTTGTGACACCGATACCCTTCTATATTTTTCTCAACATAAAAGATCGATAAATTAATTTTCTAGTCATGCCATGAATAATAATATAATATTTTGCAATATTTAACACGAGTTCAATGTAATTGCAATGAGTAACCAGCTGTGAACAAAGCATAAAATTGATAAATTATCCAGATAAACCCTTACCTTGCATTTTAGGACTGGATCCTGTTGGTGCCTTCGTAGAGAGAAATGAGCTGCAAGTACGCGTTGTCGCGATATGAATTGTTGCATTAAAAACTTCTGCTACCAAGACAAGTAATGGTAACTTGATTAAAAAATAAATCACAAATACAATAATATGACAGACTAAACCAATATGTACTATAAGCTGATGTCCAATGTATTCAATCATCCTTGTTAAGACCACACCTATCACGATGTTAACCACCGCTCTGCATCCTGTGGTAAGACCCATGACCATAGCGCTTCCCCCAAGACTATCAATAAACCAGTACGTAAACGTCAATAGAAATCCATCACAAAATCCGGAATAAGCAGATACAAAAGTGAACATGCTGTACTGAAAATTGGATGACGGACTCTGTACTTTTCTGGCAATGACGTCCTTTGTACCGGCGGGAAAATCCAGGCACAGACCACACAAGAAAGCAACTGTGAGAAATCCAAATGCAAAATAAAATACATAATGGAACGATCCAATGTACATCCCGCAGAACTCTTGGTTAAAATAATATATGACGATACCAATGTTAGGTACGATTATACCCCAGCCTACAGTACCACAGGTTTGAGCCTGTCCATAATGCTCAGCACCTATACTAGCAGAACATGACTCCTCAACCAATGTAAACATGGTAGAATCAAATGCATCACTTAATAAAACTAGAACTAATAAACATGTGAAGATGCGAAGCAATTCTGCTTTATTGTTATAGATAATATGTTCTGTAATGCCTGGCTTTGGTGTAATTTGTAAAATGCTCCCAGATTTCTCAGATTTTTTGGAACTAATATTGGAATTAATCTTGTAAGGATTTTCTGAGGGTGGTACTGAAGTCAGAGTTGTATTTCTAGTTTCTTGAAACGTGGTAGTAACTGGGCGGTCGGTCGTGCTGAATAATGTTTTATTTTCAACGATTGACACTCCCCATAATATTTCCGCATCTTCGGCTGTTTCATTCCAGTTTTCTGTCAAGTCGCGTTTGAAAAGCACGTGATGAATCTCAAAAGATTGTTGCGTCGTCTGGTCACCAATATGTTTGATTACACACATCTGATGATGTGGACGTAAAACTATGAGTATTATCAACATTTTAGCCATGAGAACTATATATGATATCACAAACATTAGTTTGCGCGAGCGAAGTCTTTCTGCAAATAGGATCAATAATGGCGTTCCCGTAGACTGCAGTATAAAACGCAAACCACACAACAACCCGACGAACACTGGGCTCAGTCCAATATACTTGAAATAGACAGGTCGGAACATTATAAACGGCGCGTAACCAGCGTAGAATGAGAAATAAAACGCATTGTATACAACTTCGATTGGTACAGACAAAGCCATTATTTCCCGCATGCCATAGGTCATATGTAGTCCGTGACAATCGTGTCGAGATGACTCAAATCTTACACTCAAGGTTAGACCCTAAAAGCCACATTGATTCTATTTAGAAGTACATCAGCCCTATGTAATCCTGATTTAAAAATACCAGAAGGAAAATTAGTCATAGTCTCTTACCCAAACATTTCATCCCCACGGCGAAGCACCAGACATGTGAATATTTGCATGCGCGTGCGTCTGATTCATTGTAATTTGATGCACAAAAATATGTCAATATTCCTTTAGTCGATATAAAATATTTCCTCTCCAGACTCTAGTGTTAATAAAATTTTAAACACAGTTTAATTGTAACTTTATATTGCCCAATGTGAATAAATATCCTTGGTTTAAATTGAAATATTATATCTCATTTACATATTCGGCGTGAAGCTACAGTCTTGTGTTAGACTGCTAGTGCCTTAGTGGTGTATTAGCATTTTACGCGCCAACGCCCGCCAGGTATATTATAGCAACGACAAAGTTCGACTACAAAAACATATCAAATTTCCACTAACCAGCTGCAAAGTAAAATGATTTGTCTAGAAAAGAACGATCACAACTATTTCCATCAAACAATGTTTCTGTATATATTTAAACAATTCTAACCAGTACAAATGTCTTTGCGATTAGGAGTAGGGCTGAAAACTGATCAGTATAGTACTCGAGTCACTCGACCATCGGTACATTGGCATTGCTGCCAGCTCGGCTGTCAAACTGTAGCGCGCGTGGGCAGCAAAATACATAATCACAAAGTTCGTCCGGAGAAAAAATGACAGCAGAAAGACCCATCATCAGGAATGATGGAATATTAATTGTAAGGGTGCGCTTGCTCGAATTTTTTATTAATTACAGACTCACGGACGTGTACATACATGATACAAACATCACCCACCCGAGGTTTTGAAATTTTCAAAATCCTTTGGGGACTGTTAGAAGTTTTACAACTTTCAATTTTGCGCGTTTTGTCAATGATCTATTTGGTAGCTTTTTGGGTGATAGTTTGAGTGTATTGGGAATAACAATAAATCGGCCTTTCCACGAAACCGTCCACTAAATACCAAGAAGTCTTACCACTACATCCCGACCCTTTCAGACCTAACCTGCGACGCTAATTATTTCATCCCGGTTTTCTTCTCGCTTTAGTGGGTGTTGAGAAACACAACTCAAAGAATACTCACATGCATCTAAATTCGTTTAATTAATAGACGTTGATAAATTGTTGATTCACGCACATATTTAATTAATTAACCTGAACACAAAAATTACAAATTTACAAAAATTAAAGCTAAAAGGTCCTAAAACGTCCGCTATTCCGAAGTTGAAGACTGAGACCCAGTAACAAATAAGTAACAAAATTAATACGTAAACTTCACCAGTGGAAAGATCAGCTCAAAATTAGTAGGTACGTAAAGATTGACTGAGCAGATTTAGATACATATACGTATAAACTGTGGTATAAGTAACAAGCTTTCAAAAATTTGGAAAATTACTATAAAATACATTGTATTGGCCTATTGGGGGCATTTGGGGGACGCCTCAAAACCCATTGTCATAGTAATTTTGGAAGTTTGTGAAAGCCCAGTATTCATGCATATTGTATTTATCTAAATGTAGTCAAACTTTGTATATCCTGTACTAATTATTTTTAAGCCGCTCTTACCAGTGGCGAGTTCCTTTCCTCATACATTCTCGTCTCCATAGCCACTCGTTGAAAATTAGGCTCTGGGTTAGACGACTAAAGGGAGAGATCTGATTGGCTTCTCAGAGAACTGTTATTTCCCAGAAGTTGAGCAGTTTTCGCTAGGCAAATCACTAAATATATCAACACAAATACTTCTCTTCGTAACACTTCCGATTCCGTGTTTCCCAAAGCGTCGGAAGGTCGCGCGCGACCGAGAACCTCAGGGAACGAGGACGTTCCTCATATTGTTACTTTTAAACACTCGGTCCCAGTCTTCTCAACAACGTTTGGAATGACTGCATGCTGGAATACACTACATTTATTAATAAACTGTAGTTCAAATATGGTATGCATATTTTACGCAAACACAATTAAAACAAGGTTTGCCTAAAACGTGTAATAGATACTTTCCAAATTTGCAAACACCTCTGTTAGTTTCATCGTTTCAACAGTCCAGGCAAAAACTTTTACATGTCTTTGCATTAATATATTAGAGATCAATTCCACACTGAGTTGAAATAGTTGTTTCGAAAATCTCCATTTTCAAAGGATTGAATAGATGCACACGTAAACATCTTATAAGTAATGTAATCAGGGCCGTGCCAACTGGGTATGTGTGTGTGTGTGTGTGTATCACTCCCCCAAAGAAAAGTAAAAAGGGAGGCCCAGCTTGCGGAGAGGGGGCCCTGGAAAGTGGAACGTGTTAAATATTAAGGAATATTCTTGAAAATTGGCAGTAAAAAGGTCTTCAAAACTAAATTTAAGCCCTCATTATGTAAACCTAGTGTTTGAAAAATTTTTTGGGACCTCCCTCCCTCCCCAGTATTTTCCGGAAAAATTCTTTGGTTTCTGGAAAATTAATATGATTCTTAGGGGCGCACATTAAAAAATGTCCTATGTTCTAGGTAGGTAGGTAAAACTTTATTTAACTACGCTAACCCCTACAGCGAAGGCTGATTTCCAAGGGGGGCGTAGATTTAAATAGTTAAAAAATACAATTGATACAAATTATGGTCATACATTACATTACATTACAGTTAACAACAATTACAATACATTTACAAATACAACTAGTATATAATTATTTACAAATTAAATTAATGTTAGTACTGTTCAATATTTTAGATTAACGTAATTATTTTATTAATTAATTAATTAATTGGCCAGGTGTCGTATACATGAATTAAACGAAGCAATAGTATGTTTGTTTCTTGCTTCATCAGAAAGGCTGTTCCACAATTTCGCTCCTCTATAACTAAGACTTTTTTTAAGATATTCAGTCTTAGGTTTGGGCAAAAAGAGTTTGGTGGAAGAGCCTCGCATATTATAGTAATAAGAGGAAGACGTCCTTTGAAAAATATTGGTTAGTCGTTTTGGCGCCAGTTCACGAGTTATTTTATACATAAGACTTGCTACGAAATGTGTTCTGCGTTCACTTAAAGGTCTCCATTTCAGTTCGTCTAGAGCAAGTTCAGATTGACCGTGTTCGTTTTTACGGCCAGTAATAACTCTAGCTGCCCTATTTTGTAGTTTCTCGAGTCGATCAGAAAGTGTGGCACCAATGGTGTCCCAAACTTCGCAGCAATAATCTAGGTGTGGAAGTATAAGTGCATTATAAGCACAAATTAATGTATTATGATCCACACAAGATTTTAGCTTTCTGATCGCCCCAATTCCGGATGAAATCTTCTTAGCAATTTTATCAATATGCTTATCCCACAATAAAAATTCGTCAATATGAACTCCAAGCGCTTTTGTTTCTTTGACCTTTTTAATTGGTGTATCACCAACAAATACATTTGGAGCAGCAAGTAAATTATTTATGTTGTACCGAGATCCTATTAGTAGATACTCAGTTTTGACTAGATTAAGAGATAATCTATTTGCAGAAAGCCATTGTTTAACGTTGGTAAGGTCATGATTTATGGCCACCTCTACATCTTGGATTGACTTGCCAGATACAGTTAGAGTCGTATCGTCGGCAAACATTTTTGTCGACGAGTACTCCAAACTGTTAGGCAGATCATTAATGTAGATCAAGAATAAGAGTGGGCCAAGAATTGAACCTTGAGGGATTCCACATGTAACCAACTTCGTGCCCGACAGAGCGCCATTAACGGAGCACATTTGGGTTCTATTCGCTAAATAGGATCCTAAAAGGTTTAATGATGGCTTCTGTAGGCCATAAAGATCAAGTTTCGTTAAGAGGATGTCATGTTCTGGGACCCACTTTTGTAGTATTTGTGTTTGATAAAAAAGGCGTAAATTGCGGATGACTCATAGACGATTATTTCACGTATTTTAGGACGAGGTTTGAAGAAAACTTTACAACCACAAAAAATGCATTTTGCAGTCGCCTAGTTGTTAAATGGAAAAAAATACTGATGTAAAACATTGTACTGTACACGCAAATACATTAGCACGATGGCTTCCTTTTGGGTAGAAGTTGGTCATGACTGCAGCTACTAGTATGCGCGCAAATTCAAGTTCAAATGTGCTTTCAACAACCATAGGCATTTTTTACTCGAGTTGGGATTCTAGTATTTCTAGATAGGGAAGACTACAACTTTTATTGGCAAACAGAAGAGATGGGTATCATTATTCACACATCGTACCCCCTTCCCAATTTCTGACCGGATTTCAGCTTTTCACAATTAAGGGCAGTCCTTTTGTCCATTGCAGAGTCCCCTTGCCACCCTCTTGCCTACGCCGCTGAACTTCTGCCTTTCAAAGTTTCAGACTCAGTTTGTGCGACAAGACAAACAATGCGCAGTTTTGACTGCGTACCGCGGGACTTGAGGTAATCTGATCACATTATATTGGCTGAACTGTTGCAACACGGAAGTTGATTATTTGATGCTAGTATAATATGATTGATCTGTTGGTTTGTGTATGCGTTTTTGTTATTTTTAGGAAATTTCCATTTCCAAAATGTCGACACTTTTTCATTTTTCGACACAAAATGATATCTTTCAGATTTTAGCCGGACCGACTTTTTTGTCCCAATCAGGTTTCCGGGACTGACTTTTTAGATATATTTCACAACTGAAACATGGGGGTGTCACACCCCCCATCCCCCACACCCCACACACACCCATCCTAATGTGCGCCCCTGATGATTCTCCGGCTGAAACATTCTGGTGTGAAAGAGCAATTATTTTAGTACCCTGAAGCAGTTTATTTTTCATTCAGAAACTGATCAGTGTTAACGTTGAGCACTCAGAGTATTAATCGCCGAATTTAGGAGCTAAAACTTTAGCGAATTTTAATTATATTTGAAACTCCGTCTCTCTTTCAAAAGTAACTCAGTCCTAAAAAACGAAACTGTAAACAATAGAAAAGAGATAAAACCTGAATTACTTGACTGTTCACTCCTCTTCATTCTCTGAGCTTGCTCCTTCACTACTGACATCAGCTTCTGATCCTGAGGATGACGTTGCAAGTTTGTCACTCTCGCCATTGATTTTGATATCAATCACAAACGTCAGCAGTTCAACAGCCAGGTATATGAAAGCTACAGCTGTAGTCATCCAAGTGAAAATAAGGAATGTCCCCTTGAAGCCGTTAGAATTAACGTGTAGTCCTGAGAATAAGGCACCAGATCCAGAACCAACACCCCAGTATATACCATGAAGTAATGCTAAAGAAGTTGAATAATAATCAAAGGACTTTAATAAAGAATTATTTGATACATGCAATAAGGGGCTGATTATATGCCGGAAACGACAAAATCCTATTAGAATACAACATGCAATTTACATGACAAAATTACTGGCCGCGCCGAGTTTCAAGGTCGCAAATGTTGGGGGCGTGGGGGGTGTGGCACCTCCCAAAGTTTAAAAATGGTATGATACTCGGGCAAATTTTGCTTAGTGTTGGATTGTATGTCGGGCAAAGCAATTGAAGTCATCTGAGGTAAAGGTAGATTGATAGAAAAGTTCACGAATTTCATGGCAGATTGTCAGATTGATATGGCTTATCATGGCTTTATGGAATTTGTCATCTCTGTGTAAACGCATTGAAAGTTGATGAGAATTATAAGGACCTCACAGTATTAAACACTTTATCAGTCATTAGTTCAAATGCAGTTTGTGTTAATGTTGTGTGTTTTCTGTTTCCGTTCGTATGCGCTTTGGTTGGTGACCACGCCCTTCTATCGGGCAAGACGAACTCACAACCATCCCCCATCCCCAATACGTACACTCAAGTTGCGCGCGCCCCTGCCTATACATGCAACCACAATCTCGCACAAGTTGAACAATATACATATATACTGTAATCATTGAATGACTCAGTAAGAAGCGGAATAACTCTATTTCAAAATATTACCATTACTCATGCTGAAATTTTAAACGTACTATATCTAACTACGTGAACAATTTCGCTCGTTTAACCGGGTTATACGCTGGGTTTGACTGACTCAGCCAGTCAGCCACGGCTGAAACCTCTCAATGACATCTGCTCTTCAATTAGTTTCATATATGCGTCATGTTTTCTACGTCACAAAATCGGCATAATGAGTTACTTATCAGATTACGTACGTTGTATATCCTTGCCATTATGAAACAAAATCGCTTTTTAGAAGTATAGTGTGGACTTGTGTTGTTTTACAACATCAAATACCTGGATTCTTTAATAATTTCATTTCATAACATTTTCAAAAACTCATTATGCAGTATATCTGACGTAGAAGTCTTGACACGTTTATCAAACTAACTGAAATATCTCTATACGAAGTATCTCTATATCGAAGCTATACGTTTTTATAAATACTGAATTAGACAAACTAATTTTTGTTTCATATGCACTTTAAATTAGTGAATTTAATGAAACCCACGATATGGTACACTTAATCTGAGACCATGCATGTTTCCAAGGAAGAACTATCATTCAAAACTGTCAATTCTCAATTTTAGTGTTATCAAAATCACTAGACTGGTAAATTGGTCTCTCCAGATTTGTACCGCGGGAATTGATTTTATGTATCATCATAGACACTGCCCAAAAATACGTGTAGAACGCACCAAATGTAAATTTAAAAATAAACTCGCCCCATTCCCCTGACATTTGTCGCGCGCCGCAAGCACTCAAAGAAAAACACAAAACTAAAGGCCGTTTTCCACTAGGCGGAATTTTTCGCGCGGAGCGGAATTTCTCTTTGTCTTTTCTAATTAGTTCCACCCGAGAAATCACAAGACAAAGAGAAATTCCGCTCCGCGCGGAAAATTCCGCCTAGTGGAAAACGGCCTTTACGTTTCCACTAGGCGGAATTTTCCGCGCGGAGCGGAATTTCTCTTTGTCTTTTCTAACTAGTTCCACCCGAGAAATCACAAAACAAAGAGAAATTTCGCTCCGCGCGGAAAATTCCGCCTAGTGGAAAACGGCCTTTAATTGAAGGAATAAATTCGAAGGAATAAATTGCGCTAGAAGGTATCTGCTATGAAGAAAACCGTTGAAAAGCCCGCGCATCGATTTTCAGCGGTTTTCTTCATATCAGATACCTTCTAGCGCAATTTCAAATTTATTTCTTCGAACTTATTCCTTTAATTAAAAGCCTCTGCGGGGGAGAGAGGTGTCAGTTCAAGAATCAGTGGCGGAAATCTTGGTCGGTGGCGGCCGCCCCCCACCTTCACGGAAATTGCCGAATTTTCGGAAATTTTGACCTAAGAGGGCTAAAAACGGTCTTTTCGAGTGCAAATGAAGGGGTTGTCGGAAATTGAAAGTTTTGTCGGAAATTTAGGAGGCTTTGCCCCCCCCCCCGCAAAAAGTGAATTTCCGCCACTGTCAAGAATATTGTAGACTGTACCTTCACACCTTAAATCATAGTAAAAAATATTGCTTTTAAAATGTTATAAAGATAATTTCTCGATCATAAAAGGCGTAAAAACATCATTTCCAGTTGAATATCGGCAGCAGTCAATGAGGTGTCTAAAATGTTCATCACGTGATATACTGCATCAGTATAAAATCAACTCTGCACGAACCCGCATGCAAATCTCGAGATCTAGTGATTTTGATAATAACACCTGTTGATGTGAGTACACTGTGGTAGAAAAAATCAAATTTGACATGATTTAAATAAACATTTTTTTTAAAACATGTGATAATACGTGCACTTAGCATGGCCAAATCGTTGTCACTATATTGTGCACGACACTTTGACTCCCCCACCCCCCGCTTAGTACTCCCTGGTCTTCTGAATATGCCTTATAGTGAAGATGTCTCCCTAGGATTTTCCTGGCTCCATTTGGCCAAACATTTTGGCTACGCGAAGTATACATAATCACTACTGCATCGTGATTTTAAGGGCCAGTAAAAAGGCAAATGCTATGTAACTGTACGGTATATACTGTATACGTTAGTATACGGCTACTGAAATGCATATTAGTTGCATGCACAGTTAAATATATTCTGGGCACTTGACTAATAATATTAAAGACGACGAGTGGTAACTTATGATAACGATACATACCTTGCAATCGAAGATCAGAGCCAGCCGGAACGGACTGATCAAGAAAATACGCACAAGTGGACACCAGAAAACCATAAAATGTCGCATGCATGATTTCAATCAGGATCACCACCCAGGGACTTGTTGTGCGAGAGAAGATAAAAAAAACTGCAATATGACCAACGAGGCCGAGACTGATTGTTGGAACATGTCCAACGTAATCAATGATTTTTCTCAGTAGAAAGAATAGAACCACATCGACGATACACTTGCACCCTGTAGCCACTCCCATAATCGCTGCACTCCCGCCGATACTATCTATGAACCAGTTCACAAACGTAAATAAGAATCCGTTACAGAAACCAGCGTAAGCAAACACAATGAGGAACATGCCATAATGGAAATTTGATCGAGTTCCGTGCACTTTCTTTACTTTAACATCACTGAAATCAGCATCTAAATCAAGATGCGAACCGACTAACAGTGAGATGTTGAAAAACACAATCGCAAAAATAAATACATAATGATAAGTATCTACCATACGTCCGCACAACTCGTGTGGGGCAACATGCAAGACTATTGCGATAGCAGGAGCCATGCAACCCCAGCCTAAACTTCCCCATAGTCGAGAAAAACCATAGTTCTGTCGTTGGTGGTCAATGCATGAATGATCGACAAGCGTAAACATGGCTGCATCAAATATATCACTTATCAACACCACAACCAACAAGCTGTAGAAAAGGTGGCGGACTTCAGTTTCGTCATTGCTAATACGATATTCAGTTTTTGAATGATTTCTCTTCGCTACCGTTGTGTAGTTCGCCTTCGTAATATTGGGATTGAATATTGTATTGTTTCTTTCTGGATTTTCGGGCTCTGTTTTGTTCATTCCATGTATGGTATTATTGCCATCGTTTTCCTCCCATTTAACCGCTACGTGTTCTCCTTTATAGCCTAACAAAACCTTTGTCGGGTAGTGTAGTTGTGTTTCGCCATTTTGGTCGAAATTTTCTTTCAAAGTTGTGTAGTTTTGATTTTTTCCTTGCGGTGACCAACGATCCATAACGTCCCGTTTACTCAATTTGTGGACGATAACAAACGAATGTTTGGTAACAGTTCGAGTATCATTCGCATATTCCACAGTTGTAACTACACATTGTTGGTGTGATGGTTTTAGTAACAGAAACAGGCAAATAAGTTTCACTATAGCGATCAAAGATGATGCGATAAACAGCAGTTTTCGTGAGCGTAGTCTGTCACCGATAAGTACCAGGAGTGGTGTGGCAATAGACTGGAATAAAGGACGAATACCACTGATTACACCAACTTGGGTTGCATTAAAGCCAATATGCTTCAAATATATTGGAAAATATAACAGGAACGGTATATAGCCGCCGTAAAAGATGAAGTAGAATGCTTGATAATGCACGCATTCAAGTATGCGATTCATCCTCTCGGATACCATGTTGAAAAGAACTCAACAGTCGACAGCTTATTTTCAGGTTGAACTATCTACCGTCTCTTGGCTGCTGTTGAGTTTTATCAATTTTCCTGCTTTAAACATCTTAAACAACACACATTTTTAAAAAGGCCTCGAAATGAACATGTTTTGACGATCTAGATTATACGTATCAAATCACTCACTGAAATGCTTCATTGCTCACCCTGATCGATGATTTGCATTTGGACAAAGCACTATTTGATACGAATGACTGAAATGCTAATCATCTAAAAATCGCTGTAGCATAACAAATTAATTTCATCACGAAGGTCATATCTTAAAGCGATGTTATGCAAGAAAACTAAGAAACTTTTTACTATTCCGGCGCTGCATTAAAAATCGTTGCGAAAGAAGTCAAATGTGTAAATAAAAATACAGTATGATCACTTATTAGTGACTTATAGTGTTGTTGCGACTTGCGAGTGATCTTACAAGGAACCAGTTTCAGCATTCGCACAGCCATATTGATGTTTGTGCATTTATTATCCCGCTTACTAAGACACACTTTAGTTTGACATATTGACTGAATAAGTCATGGTTAATGATTTGACGGAATTTTTATTGCATGTGGTGCGAAGTCAACGATCCGAAAGGTGAGATAGAGTCACGCAGGGGTGTAGGAACCGGGGGGCACGGGGGCACATACCCCCAATTTTCTTCAAAGGACTAAAAGTGCCCTTTTTTGTGATGAAAAGTGCCCCCTCTGTGATGAAAAGTGCCCTTTTTGTACAAGCTAATGTCGCTGTAAATACTAAATTAACGGCATCAAAGGTGCCTTTTTGTTTGGAAATTTTCAATTTTTTTAAAAAAATTTGGTCAAAAACGTGCAATTTCGGTATGGTACGATGGGTGCCCTTTTTAATACCCTAAAATGCCCCTAGAAGTCGGTGCCCCCCCCCCCCAATCTTTTGATGCTTTCTACGCCCCTGGAGTCACGATCTTTCTCAGCGGCCAGATTATAATGTTTTTACCTGTAAATAATCACATAAGTATTCTCTCTTTATACTCACTCTGCCCATTATCAGTGTTAATTAAACTGTTGTATTTCTATTGTTGAGAAAGATCGTGACTCAATCTTTACGACCGCGTTACGACCATATGGAAACAGGCTTTAATTTTAATATAGTCGGACCAGAATTTCAGTTTCTGTATCAAAGATCTGGCGCTGCAGGTTTTTCAACGAAAATGGTATACGTCCTCCTTCTAATTTGATCCAAATTTTCTGGTCAGATCACTCCAAAACCCAAACGTTTGGTGTTGTATTCAAATTAGATTGTTCTGACCGGTCACTGGTCAGGCTGCGCTGGTTACTATGCAAAGCGCCTAAAGACGTAAGATCACTCGCAGTTTTTTTTTGCTTTCGGCCTAGCATTTGGTTATACAAAGAGGGGATATTCGAGAGGCTTGTTCACTTGATATCAGTATTAACCGTATAGCAGATGGATTTTATGTAGTCTGTACACAGCGAGCCCATCCCATGTCTTATTGAAAGCATATTATTGAATGTAGATAGTATTTATATAGCTCAGTGTTGAATTAACGGCGCGCGGCCTGCGGCGCCTGCCTGTTGCGGGCTGGTTGCAGGCTAGCGAGAGCTATTTCATTTATTTAATTGATATATTTTCGAACCTAATCAGGAACAGTTGCGAAAAATAAAACTATAGTATATAGTATAGGTTTTCTGGCAGGAATTGAACCTGCGGATTCCGGTACGGCGTTCCAACCGACTAGAACCGAGCTACAGAGTTCAGCGGCCGAGCATTAATAACAACATATGTTCATAAAGGTGATGTCAGTAGAAATATGGGTAAATATCGAGATTTTGGGTTGCATTTTCATGTCACGCAGTCACGAATTTCGTAATTGCTAGGTACTCCTTAGTGTATATAGCTAATTCAATTAAGGTTGCCTTCGACCAGTCGACCTCTAACTGCTCTAAGCGCGAAATGCACAATAAGCGTGTTTATAATTATTATGAGATTATTTATGCATGCATGCATGTTAGCACGATCTAGTGAATTTTGACGGGTTTGCTACTGAATTGGGTTAGACGGGCGAAAAAATCTGAAATAGGTGAAAATCACGGGAACACGTAAATTATAAATCGCTTTTTACCCAAAAGCACAATATCTGGCTTGTGAGACGTAGCAACCGTAACTACGGAGAGTCGGAAGTATGAATCACACTGATTGTATGCAAATCCATCGTGGTTTTCGCGGTTAGAGGCGGAGGGTTTCGGTAGCTAGAGGATTAAATAAAATTTCGGCCGTTCGAAAATTCCATCTACACCCATCTTCTATTAGTCCCGTCGTTACTATCAGGCAAGCAATGTCTTCTGGATTGTCCATATGCATGGTTCAATCGAACGAGATACCCAAAAATCTTGCCGGCAGAATGAACGTGTTTTGTATTTGGTGTCTAGCTAGCTTATACAAAAAACCATCAGTATTTGTGACTGGTTCTTTAGGAAATTTAGTGTGTTTCGTCCTTATAACCAACCGTCAAACCTGCAGTCCTGCAATTTCGGGTGCAGCTGAGCTATATGGTCCAGTTGCTGAGCATTAACAACAGATTCATCTGATGTACATATAATGGAGTGATGCCAGTAGGAAGTACTGCCTTGGCAGACAACGGTTTATACCTTCTGCCGGGGGTCTATATGGCGTAGGGTAATGCCTATTCAGTAGGTAAATGTCAAGATTTAGGGCTGGTCTCGTTCCATAGAAATGGAACGAGGGTTTTGTAGATGTAATTTTCGAACGTTAATTTCTATACACTTTCAGACCTAACCAGGAGCAGTTGCGAAAAAATGGCCCCGCGTGCGATTACAGTGTAGGAGTGCTAACCACCGTAATTAAATGAGCTACAGAGCAACAAAGCTATTTTTGTATCTGTGGTTAATGCTCAGCAACGGACTGTGTAGCTCAGTTGGTTAGAGGACTGCAATACACGACGGTTCGATTCCTGCAACTGGGCTTGTAGCAACCCCGTGCAAAGGAGCGTAGAGCCTGGGTACGAAGTTGGGTCTGTATATATTTGAATTTTTCGGCACTGCTCCTGGTTAGGTCTAAAGTGTACAGAAATTTACTTTCGAAAATTCCATTTACACTACATTACATTTACACTACTGATTTGTTCTATCGCATTAAACATACAGGGCTTTAGGCAAACTGAGCTTATTTAAAATATTCCAAAAATGTCGTTCATTTAGGTTTCACTAAAAATAATCGTGATACACTGATACGTACTTACACTAAATTATAAAATCCTCTAAAACTTCAAACAATTGCAACTTCGCTCAAATCAACAACTCCCTACTCCATCGCTCAAATGGAAAATAGAACATATATCCCACCATTTCACAAGCACATATATATTGAATCAACAACTTTTGAAAGTGATTATATTAATGTTTCATGACAGGCACATTCTAAATTATTTGTAAAATTGTACGTACCAAAACTCATTTTCATTATTACGAAATTCTAAAATCCTTTACTTAAAGCTTTACTGCGGATATGATAAATACTAAAATCCGTTACCACACATCCATTGTTCAAATGAACACATATCGTATAGACTATACTGTCTATACTGTCTATCAGGGTGCTCAGTAGCATTTCAAGCATCATCATATTATGAAATCAAGACCAAAATATGCAATTTTATGACACAAAGACAAACTTCATTTGTAATAATTACGATCATATTATTAGCTTCAAGTCTCCGTGTTCACTCCGAATCACTATCCATGGACAGAGAAAACATTCTGCGTTCAAATTCGTGGTTCACTTCCGTTTGAAGAAACATGTAACATTGAACTGTTAGAAAGATGAGTGTGATAAAAACTGTAATACACGCGAATGTAAGAAAGGTGGTTGGAAATCCACTAGTTTCTATACGATAACCAGACAATATGCATCCTGCAGTCATGCCGACACCCCAATATATGCCATGGAATATTGCTAAAGAAATAAAAATGTATATTATATAGCGAGCGTGTCCCTAAAACAGACCCTGTTCGGACTTCCCATCATGATATATTGTGGTATTTACTATTTTCCATCAAACTTGCATCTGTCGTTTCTAGTCCGTAGCCTGCGCGCAGACTATATGTCATTATATAGTCTGCGCGCAGGCTATTTCTAGTCTAGCTAAGCACAAAAATCTAATCTAAATAATCACTTCGCCTTCTGGTGTCAAAAAGACCACTTGAATTTTCCACACCCACGACGCGAGGATGGCATCTGACTAATAGAGGAAACTAGTACTATATTAGCCATTCAAAGCCATAAAAAGTGCCCAAATTAAGAAATGAACCAAATCACTAAAAAGGCAACCTCAAAATTAGTAAGTATACAAAGTTTGAAGACGTTTACATGAATACCCTTCGAATAATATGCTTTCGAAAATTGTGGTATTTACTATGAAATGTATTGTAATTCTTGTTTTTGGGACGCGCGTCCCAAAAACAATCTTTTAATCAGTAATTTCACAATTTTCGAAAGCTTATTATGCGAAGGGTATTCATGTAAACGTTTTCAAACTTTGTATACTTACTAATTTTGAGGTTGTCTTTTTAGTGATTTAGTTCATTTCTTAATTTGGGCACTTTTTAACACTCGTCCCCATGCAGTCCACTCATCAACTTCGGAATGGCTAATTGTAGTAGAGACAGAGAGCACATTAAATGTTAGACTGAGGACAGATGAGTATAAAAATGTTTGAGGCGAAAACAGGATTATTTGGTTTATTTGGAGTTTTTGGACGACTAATTACCCGTTGACGACTGATCAACTATATATACAGTATATGCATGTATTAAAATTGTAAACAAATAGTAGATTATATTAATATTCATACCTTGCATGCGAGCGCTTGAACCAGCTGGTGCTACCTTAACAAGAAATGACGCAGCAGTAGACATTAACGATCCATACACAATACCATACATTGCTTCTGCCAAGATGACCAGCCAAGCGTTTGTTATTCCATAGTATATAACAAAAACAACGAGATGTCCAAGGAGACCGATACTAAGTGTCGCAACATAGCCAAGTTTCTCCATAAGTCTTCCTAGCGTAAAATACAGGATTATATCTATCATAGCTTTCGTAGTAGTGGCTACACCCATGATTACTGTAGTTCCGCCAAGAGTATCGATAAACCAGTTGACAAATGTGAGCAAAAATCCGTGACCAAAGCCAGCGAAAGCAGAAATGATGGAAAACATACCATACTGAAGGTTAGAGTGCGCGCTATGGACCTTTTTTGAGATAACTTCTGGAATTTTTTGCGTGAAATCAATTTGTATGCCTATAGATAAAGCAATGATGGTAAATGCTATAAAGAAAAAGAACATATAATGAAATGTTTCCACCATCATACCGCACATTTCGTTACTCAGTGCGAACACAACCAACCCAACTATTGGAGTCATAGCTCCCCATCCTATAGTCTCCCAAAGCCGTACTTCTCTGTATCCACGTCCTATGTCGGTGCTTGCAACACATGAGTAGTCTACTAAAGTATATATTGCAGCGACAAATGGATCAGCAAATAAGGTTAAAAAGACAAGTGCTGTGAAAACTCGATTGAGTTCACTTTGGTTGTAAACAATTGTAAATTTTATCCGGGTATTTTTTATTTTATTTCTCTTCCTTGGATTGGCTGTCATACCACTGACATCGGTTGGTTGATATCCACGAATCAAAGTCCGTTTAAAATCTTTTCCAGTTTTAGTTATATTCTTCCTAATTTCACTGATGGGGTGCTTGTCTGATACAAATTCACCACTGAATGTCGGTATCGAGTTGAGTGTTTTGTTAAAATCCCTTTCAACGACGCGTTTAGTGAGAATATTTTGTTCCTCTGGCAAGTTATCGCCTACTAAAAGCGAGACACGTACCAGTTTATCGACCCGCCAAACAACAACATTAGATTTATTCACGAATTTCATGACACACACTTGTTGTTGAGGTTTTATAAGAAGAAACATGATCAGAACCTTTGCTATGGCGATGAAGCACGATGCAACAAATAAAAGTTTATTTGAGCGAAGTTTCTCCCCTAAAATTACCAAAAGCGGTGTGACAAGAGACTGAAGTATTGGCCGTATACCATTTAGTATACCAACCTGAACGCTGGTCAAACCAACATGTTTCAGGTACACAGGTAGATATAACAACAACGGCATATAACCGGCGTAGAAAGTAAAGTAAAACAACTGATACCGCCATTCCTCCATGAAATTCTTGACTTTTTGCCACATAATGCCTTGCCTCTACAAGCTACTGAATGCATGAATGCATCTAGCCTTTCTTGGTGTAAATTCACTTGTTTTAGTCTTTCATACTCTTTGCACACCGAAACACAACTTGCATCCTAAATAAATGAATCCCCGATTCAACTTAATAATCAATTCCTCACATCTATATATGTGAATATCGTCAAATGAATTCGAGTATCATCAAATGAATTCGAGTATCATCGAGTCTCTTATGCATATGAGGAAAAAATTGATTCCCGCACTGATGCATTGATGCGCATCAGCGACCGCGGAATGCAATTACCAATCATCATGTGGTAGATCTAGACTTGATGTGAAATTACTGGTAAAATATGTAAACATATTGTTTTCTATTATTAGTTGTTATTATTGTGCCAGTGCATGATAACATTTTTTGAACCCACAACTTCTGTTTTGATATTTTTGCTTCACATTCACTTCACAGTTTCGATCAGCTTAATAGTCTAGAGTAGAGATTGACATTGCGCGAAATCAACCAAGAACTGATGTGTAAATAAATTTAAATTTTCCAAACTAATGCTATTAGCTATGAATTAATTTTGATCAGTTCAGAAACATGCGAGGTACTTTCATTGGTCATTCATTTTATAATATATATTATGAGCTACTAGCTTCTGAAAAAAGGAATGGGGAATCGGGGAGCCGGAATCTCCAATAGTCTTTGAAAACATTGCCGACTTGATACAAACTCAAGGTCGCACCTTGTCCTTGATTAGTCAACCGGGTCCGAGTCTTTGTGCCGGCCTTATGAAATACGGAATGGATTTCGGAATGGAACGGATTCTGGAACAGAACGAGATTACTGTGGTAAAGAGTGAAAATCACTTTCATCCTTTATTTAGGTCGCAAATGATCTATTATCGCACCTTTTGTTGATCTTTTCAAACTCCGTCCTTAGACTTACGTAACAGCCGCCAGCTATCAAGCTTAGGGAATCAGAGGGTTATATAAAATCGTTACACACTGAGTTAATCAGCAATTACCCAAAGGTTTCTAGTTAATTATTGGGAGAAGGTTTCCCCACTTGGCACTGCTTTATGCAGCCCTATATGTCTGATGTAATTGTTCAGGGCTTTTGTATTAATTGTGTTATAACTGATTGTTTTAACTGAACCCGATTCAGATAACCTTGTAATCTCGTTATTTACGATTAATTTTAGTTGTTCAATATTTTTTCCAGAATAGAAAGAATTTGTACCATCAACATAAACTATAAAAGAGTGCAATAAATTCAATTCATTACTATATACAGAGTCAGAGATTAAATATGTCGCTTACTATATACATACATGCTTTAAAGCAGAGCCCCACTGCCAGATGTAACAACTTTCAACTAATTAAACCGTTATACTGAAATGTTGCACTCAGACCCCGTTTACACGGTACCGGACGAATTTAGGACCGGACGAAAATTCGTCCTTTTTCGCCTGTTTACACGTGAATTCGTCCTGTTAGGGGGTCTCAAATGTGGTTCTCGTGTGTTTACACGGCCAAAACGGACGAATTTTCGTCCGGTCACAAATTCGTCCGGTACCGTGTAAACGGGGTCTCAGATTCCAGGCCATACTTTGACTGATTTTCGAATGCTTTGTATCGGTAAAAGAATTGATACGCGCAACCGCATGCATCAGTTCTCAGTTTTTACGGTTTTAGATACAGACATATAACAAGTCTTCATATTGTTTGTTTTATTGTTTTTCTAGATTATTACAAAATTAAATAAGTTTTGTCTGACGTTTCGGTTTCCTATACGAAAATTAATTGCATAATAAATCGTTATACGATTTATTATGCAAATAACTAATGATATAGTATATAATGCATGGTTGCACGCATACAGCTAATTCAAAAAAGATTTTTCCTTTGGGCTGAAAACCTTGCAAATCATTATACGATTTATTATGCAAATAACTAATGATATAGTAATGCATGGTTGCACGCATACAGCTAATTCAAAAAAGATTTTTCCTTTGGACTGAAAACCTTGAACTCTAAACCTTAAACCTTAAATTCTAAGCGCGTATTAAAGCTTAATGGAAGCACAAGTTTCAAGCTCATTAACTGAATATCGCAGCTGTTTGTGAATGAATCAGTTGTTCTCGTAAGGAGATATTTACGATGTCTCTAAGAAATGGGCCCATATATGATTTTTAAACTGATTAAATCGGATGCTCCCATTATGCTTTGCACGATTAGAGTGTAAGGTTTAAGGTTTTTCAAAGGACAACCTTTTTTGAATTAGCTGTATATAATAAACTAAACACTCCATTTTATATCGTTCCAGAACAGTGTTCCAAATGTTCTAAAACTGTAAATGGAGCAGCCTCCTGGGGCTCTCTAAATATTTACAAATAACTTACATGAAGTTTTCTTATAGGCTGGGAATTAGAGAAATCCTACTAACTCAGAAAAATATAAGCAAACTATGTTATATTGTTCAGCTTATATCTTCCAGGTACGCAGTTGTATATCTTGGTCAATCCGCAGCTGTCTTGTTATCGTCGTTACGTACACTGTCATCGCCAGTGACTATTGAGTCTCATTTTCATCTTTCAGTTCTATTAACCGTGATTTCATTAACCTGGAGTGAGGACTCCAAAACAAAGCTGAGTGACACAAGGGTAACATGCACAACGGTTGTGCCTTCTTTTTGCGCCTGGGTATTTCAGGGCAAGAAATTTCCGGACCTAAGTCACCTAACATATTTCCTACTTGATATTTTTAATACACGTAGGGGCTTTTAATACACAAAGGGTGGCGAAGTGGTTAGCGCACTAATTGCCTTTCATCTCTAAGGCCGTGGGTTCAAATCTCAGTGAGAACTTCTCAATGTGACTCGAACCCAGTCCTCATGTGAAAAGTGTAAAAGTCAACGCTCTGCCGAAAGTCGTGGGTTTTCTCCGGGTACTCCGTGTTTCCTCCCACAGGGAAGGTTGACAGGGTGGGAGTTAGGCACATAGGTCTGGAGGCAGATCATTAATGAGGTATGGACTAATAGCGGCTGCTCAAGCGCCATTTGTAAGCTCAAAGTCTACCTCGGTCTGCTTCACGTCAGTCCGGTTCTATCTATCTATTCATAATGTAACCAGTCACTGAAAAGCCCTGATAGGGACTAGGGAGTGTGCTGTGAAATATCTGTATCTGTAATATCTGGTTTTCGTTCATCTTTCCTGGATTTTTTCTCTAGGTTTGCCCAATTTTTATACATAAACTTCAAAGTTTGGAATCTTATCTGGGGGTTTTATTGGGGGGGGGGGGGCATAGCCCCTCCGTTCCTCCGCCTATAGTAGTGCGTGAAGGAGAGAGAGATCGCCAGACTGAGAAATATGTAATTTACCGGTCGTTAAATTTTAATAGTTAAAGATAACCAATTGTTACTAACACCCATATTTCACACTACTTATATGCATGTACAGTAATCAAATTCACAATTGTAATTGCCATACTAGATCAGCAACTAACTATCGTACGTACGGCTATCTATCATATTTTGCAGGCATAAAAACGATCAACCTGTTCCCGGTTGATATCGACAGGCTTGAACAATTGCAAGGCCGGTTGTGCTGCACCCTAAGAACAAGTTGTCAACAATGTTGTTACAGCAATGTCACACCTGAACAGTACTGTAACAACTTTAATTAACAACTTGTTCTTAGGGTGCAACACAACTGTGTAATCAAGGCATATTTTAATACATTACAGTAGCTTTGAGTTAAAATATATGTTGAAAGACAAGCACATTGCCGAGTAAAAGTGTTAAACATTAACTTTTTATTGTATTTAGAATATTTCAGATTTATTTAAAATGCCCCCAAAACGCACTAAATAGCAATTTTGGAGTCTCCAGATTTCTCCGAACCCTCATCAATGGACCCTTTTCCAAGTTATGCCCCCCCCCCCCACTTGTAAATCTTTAAAATATGCCTTGACTGTGTTCATGCAAGCTTGTCAATATCAACCGGGAACAGGTTGTCCATTTTTACGCCACGCGTGTACCACTTCCTAAAATATGGAACTCACTGCCAATAAGCCTAAGAGATGTATACTGTCACTACATATTTAAAATAGCAATGAAGAAATTTTTGTTAAAATGTTTGTCGCACTAAATTGCACTCTCGATGTACTGTAAACTATATAGTACTTGTACATACACCTGTGTTATCACGAGGTGATCTTGCAAATGAGTATAGTGGCTTCACGAGATCTCTTCGTCACAAAATGTTTTTAGTAAATTTATCTTTCTTTTTCTCTGTAAATATAGATATTTGTATACGATCGTTTGCATCAAAAGATGAACATGCAGATAAAAAATGTAGTTATTTTCGCTTGAAACTTCAATGTTTGAAATGAGCATTTGAAGCTAGTTTTAAATTAACTCCGCCAATTAGCGAGACCAGGTAAACGTGAATAGGAGATCATAACCAAGTTAAATGCTCGTGACAAACATGAAACCGCTTCAGCATTGACAATAAACATCTTCGAATGCAAACGACGGTAGACATGTTTGTGTTCAATATTTTTACCACTTCTCCTCGTACCCACTCCCCAGCTGATCGTCCTCCTCGTCATCTCCAAACTGCGTACTTTCGCGTGAACTCGTTTCTGACCCAATATCACTTACAGATCTTCCTTCTGTGCAAACTACGTACAGCTGAATACCCAAGAAGAGAAACGAAAAAGCACATGTGATGAGGGTGAACCAGAGGAACGTCATCTTGAAATGAATGTTGTCAAGTGCATGTCCACCGAACACTGTGCCAATAGCAGTTCCAATTGCCAAATAAATACCATGAAGGGTTGCTATGGCATAAAACGAAAGAATTATTATTGTAAGCTAGTTAACAATTAGTACGTTTAGGTAAGCGTCACAGGACAGCAGATGCTGTCAACTTCAAAAGTGGTGACAATTATAGCAGCAAATAAATTGAACTTAAAGAAACTTTGAACTTGAACTGAGTAAACTTGCCACATCTCTCAATTCTAATTATTGAACCCAAATACGAGATTATCATATATGATGAAAAAATCCTATCGCTTCTCGTTACACTAATCCTAAAGGCCATACAGGAGGCGATTAACTTGTAATGAAATGTAACTTCGGATACCGAGTCATGTTATCAAGTATATAGACATATGAGACAGGGGGCAGGGGATGAGCAACTGCAAATTCAGGCAAATGCTAGGAAAAATCAAGAAAATTCGGGCAGATTTATCAGGAGATATGTTAAATTCGGGTCATATATTTCATTAAAAATCTCATGGCCATAAAATTTCGGGCAAACTTTAACCCTCCCCCCCGGAAAGCATCAGCCCCATACGCCTATGCCAAAAGTATAGTGACATAGAAATTGTGACCACAGCCCGCATTCTACTATCAGTGAAACTTTCTTTACATAACATAATTTTAAGGGATGAAAAATGCAAGAAATGGGATGAAAATGTCGGCCGAGTAAACCTTGCGCAATGCTCGTTATTAAGCTTTTATATACGTTGACAAAAAAACGTTTTTGCCGTATTCGACATAACATTTCATAAAATATATCAACTCTGGGCCGTCGCTAGGACTTTACTTTTGGGGAGGGGGGTTGAGGTTAGATTTACCTGAATTTTTCCAACTTAATGGTTAAGTCTCTAGACCGTCGGACTGAATGGCATTTTTAGAGTCTTTTCCACCCAATATTTCTATATTTTAGTATTGCCTAACACTGAAGATAAGTATTATTACTTACAGTTCAATGTGACTACAAAAATTGAGAAAATTTTGGAAATTCGTTGTCTCCAGATCGTCAGAAAGGGTATTTGGCCATGTCCCCCCTGCCATGACGCCTCTCAACGTCTTTAGTTGGTCGGAGCATAGAGTTTACTTTTTTATGCCTTGAGAATTACCTGAATTTACCTGAAAATCTACTGGAAATCTACCTGGAATAGCTCGTGAGCAATCATCAGGGGGGGGGGGGAGTGTGTTGCCCCCCCCCCCACACACACACACAAACCCGGTGGCTACGGCACTGCATCAACTTTTCTGTTTACACAAAATATTAGTTTTTACCAGACTTTTGTATAAGTTTTGTCTTCAAATACAAATATATGTCAGCTGTGTTGATAAATTTTATCCTAGTTGAATTGTCTGCTGTAAGCCATGCAAGACATGCAAGAGCTATTCATTAAATCAGATATTAATATACAGCAAACCAAAACTGAGAATTGCATGTGTGCAGCAAACCATTATATGTAACTTCATCCACACCGAGGGAAAAAATCACGTTCCGCTTATAGGCGCATGATAGAGCCCATGCAGTTTTTCCCATGCAGCTGTGTCATTGTGAAAAAGTGAGAAAATTAAGCCAGTGTAGTCATGTTCGAACTTTTATTTTAGAATAAACGATTGTTAATGATCAAGATATTTTTGAGCTATAGTTATCGATACTCCTTGGTCAATTTAGGAAGAAACAATGTACAAAAATATATATTCAGGTAGTTCAGAAACAATCAAAAGCAGCCAATTATTGCAGAATATCTATGCCTACACTGAACCCTACTGATCGATATAATATATTATAGTTACCTTGCATCTGATAGCTCGAGCCTGCAGGTGCTGCTCCTTTCAGAAATGAATTACATGTAAACATCATGGTTCCAGAAATTAAGGCTTGAAATACTTTGACAACGATCACAAGCCACGGATCCGTTATACCATAATAACTGAGAAACAATCCAATGTAGCCAACAAAACAAACACATACTGCAGACATATGACCAATGTACTCTATTATTGGATTAACTAGAAAGAAAACCAGGATACCAACTAGGCATTCTGTACTTGTCGATAATCCCATGATGACCGCATTCCCGCCAAGGATATCAATGAACCAATAAACGAACGAGAAAAGAAAGCCATTGCAGAAACCCATCAATGTATAAGCCAAAATGAAAATGTTATATTGAAAATTCCATTTGCTTGAATGGACCGTGCTCGTCAAGTCCGCTCCACGAGGATCAACCGTGAAATCAAGGCATAAACCGATGAGTAGCGCGATACTCACAAATGCAACATTGAAATAGAATACATTATGGAATGATCCTATGAATTCGCCGCATATTGCATGAGCACTTTGGTCTACAATAACACCAATAATGAGAGTCATCACACCCCAAGCAATATCTCCCCACACCCATGCGACGTTCGGTCTATATACGTTGTCGACCAGGGTAAATATACAAGCATCAAAATGATCTGTGGCCAGAGCTAGGAATATAATTGCTATAAAAATAAGATATACTTCTTGTTCGTGGTCAATTTGGTATTGTGTTATTTTGACACGGTTTTTCTGAGCAGCTGGGGTGTGCGTTGTCGTTGCGTTTGAGACTTGGCTGCCAGATGGCTGTTTCGTTTCTGATTGAACTGTAGGCCAACTATCATTTTTGTCCGTTGAATTATTGTTCTGTAGTTTAGTAACTTTATTCTTGTCGTAATACTCAAGTGAAAGATCGTTTGGTGTGTAGTTCAATACTTGCAACCATTCGTCCATGACTACAGCACGTTTGGCCAAACTATGCCCGATATATTTATCTTCTACCTGACCATCACTAAGTCTCATCCTGCATATCTCTTGGTTTGGCCGTAATATTATAAATATCACGAAGAATTTCCCAATCATTAAAATACACGAAGCTATAAACAATAATTTCCTGGCGTGAAACTTTGTTGCTAATTTTATCACGATTGGAGTACCAATCGCCTGTAGTAGTGGACGCAAACCAGCTATCAAACCAACTTGTGTTGTACTCAGCCCATTGTATTTCAGATAGAGTGGTAAAAATAGAAGAACTGGCATATAGCCTGTATAGAATGCCAAGTAGAACGCTTGATAAGGCAAATGTTCTTTAAAATTCCATTTTTCTTCACGAAGCGCCATCGTAGCGCATAAATTTGCGGATATTTGCGTGTTTAGTCAGTTCAGACTCTGATACATACTGAATTTATCCTTTTGGCACCATGTATATCCACTGACCTGTCGAATAGCCAGAGTTCAACAGTACAAACTGTTTTTTTCCCTACCACATTAGAGACTTAATCGATTCATTCATTTTCCGGCAAAACAAATGTTTCAGGGGTGAATGCTCGATAATGAAAATTTTTCCCCATGGCTATGATATTGCCGAATAAATTAACATACCTTTGTTGATATTCAAATATTTAATTATACTTCGTTTTGGTTGACTGCATGAATAGGAATTAATGATGCGTTTGGCGACATTATAATTTAATAGTCAATTTAATAATATACAAAGTCGATTAAAGTATTAGCATTGCTTGTTCGTTGTTATACACACAAATATATAACTGGACAGTATTTTGTTGAGCAGTTAGTCTTAGAAATTAAAAACACCAGTGACTATAGATCAGTTGCTTCAAATTCTTATACTCGATCCTCGTGACCTGCAGTTCAACAAATGCAAACACAAGCTGACTTGTACAAATTGAATCCACCAAAATTTGAACCAGTACAAAGTAGATGAGAGTTGTATGCATGGGGGTCGAACACAACTTACACAAGCTAGAAGTGCACATCTCAAACTTTTATCCCCGCTCGCCAAGGGTTAAAAATCAATAGGCACACCAGTGTGTGCTAATTAATGTGCAATACCTATGGAAATGCTAAGTTACTAACCGCAAAGAATATTATGCAAATGAGGTGATTTACCGAGTACGATTAACTTTTTTTTTATTTTTTATGCTTGTAAACTGATCAAAATAGTGCGAGGGCCGTATGTTAGATAACTTTTACTGTTAATATGTTTTCCCTCGTGAAATAAAGTTTCTATTCTATTCTATTCTATTCTATTAAGATTCGAGTTGTACGGGATTCGAGTTACGGTCATGAGTTGCAATTCGAGTTGCAGTGACGAATTATGATTCAAGTTTGAGTTCGATTCAGAATATAGCATTTTTAAATATGGCAAATTTTCGTCCCCCTCCCCCCCCTCCCCAAGGTAAGCCGTTCAGATGGGTTAAGTGCCTTCGGTTATGAGGGGTTCGAATGGGGTGAGGGTCAGGTTATCAATGAATGCATGCCGGTGTTTGTGTGATGATAAACATCATACAGTGCACCTGCATACATCATAGATTCAAGGATGAACATATGCTGATGATATACATCATACAAATGAAGAGGACGAATTGAGTGCCTTGACCACTCGCCTCTGAGGAATTGCTTGAAATCGACAGAAATGATTTATTTTGTATCATTTTAGCATGTCTAAGGAACGACGAAAATACTTGTGTCAGACGAATAGCGTCTAAATATTGGGTTCCGCGGTGTCGGAAGAATAACCACGGCGTGATTTCAAAGACGCTCTATTTTAATTCAAATCCCGACTCGAATCCTAACTCGGGTGACTGACTAACTCCTTAGTCTATATCAGAGTTTTTCGCTCGAAATTCCTATCCAATGTGTGGTGCGGCGAGCACCCACACACAATATAACAATTAGCCTTAAGCCCTGTTTAAACGGATCCAACATTGTTGGGCCAACATCATCCAACATTGTTGAAATAATGGCCCAAACGGCTTCTTTTTCAAATATTTTTGTCAAGACTAGGTTTAGAGTTTGAGTAAAGCTTATCTAACCAAAAAGATTTGAAAGAGAAGTAGTCCTATCTATTATAGTAACATTAGGGCCACTTATACGGAACAAAATAAGACGCGACTTACATAAGACGCGACTTAAGTAAGACGCGAGTTTGTCGTATAAAAGGTACAAAATTCTTATGTAAGACGCGTCTTGGATAAGACGCGTCTTACATAAGAACAGGTCTTTTAGCTGTTCTTATTTAAGTCGCATCTTAAATAGGAAATTTTGGGCAAAAAGTCTGACTACACATGCCAGAAACTTGAAACAACGTAAAATTATTAGCCTTGCATATTGAAACAAAAACAACCAAAACAACATTATAGCTATAGCAAATAAATAAGACCAAAGCCGTAGAGAACCATTTATACGATAACTCCACTTATTTAAGTCGCGTCTTATGTAAGTCGCGACTTATTTTGTTCCGTATAAATGGCCCTATTGTTGGATGATGTTGGTCCAACAATGTTGGATCCGTTTAAACAGGCCTTTAGATAGTAGATTGAGTTCGAACTTCGTGAGTTCGAATATTAGATTTGGAAAAATCGCAAATAAACACAGTAATTAAATAAATAAATAAATTTTCCTCGAGCCAGATATCACAATAATCAGTATTTTGCTGGTTAATCGATAAACAACTATATAGTCTCATTGCCACATTTTAGGACTGAAATCGAAACCATTTTCTGTATCAAGTCTAGCCATGGGGTTACCAGAATACCATTGAATGTACTTGATAAAACTGGCTCAATATACCAGGCTACGAGTCTATCTAATGTAGGATCTTTTATACCTGTATTTCAACCTTATTATAGACTCGCGTGGGGGTAAATGAACGACAAATGATCAGTGTGAATTAAACGATCCAGTGCATCGGGTGAATTTAATTTCCACGTTATTTCGAGTTCTCCCAAACTACCACAAAATACAGGAAAAATTTCTAGGAAACTCAGGGAAGTGTTTATAGCCATCTTTTTATATCACGATTAATTTACAAATTCGCGATCACATTATAGCCTACCTAATCAAAAACCACTCGAGGTTGCCCGTCAAATAATCAACTTCTCCTCAATATTTAAACTGAGAATTGACCACTTGCGTAATAGACTAAATTTTGATCTAGGCAAAAATTTCATCACAGCTTGAAAGAGCGTCACAAAATTAGTAATATTCCAAAGTTTCGTTGCGAAATGTTGTTCCCGTTTGTAATCTAAAATGACTGAAAATTGCAAACTTCGTAAGGCTATATTATCCGCATTTTACAACATTTCGCAACGAAACTTTGGAATCAGTTACTAATTTTGTGATGCTCTTTCAAGCTGTGATGACATTTTTGTCTAGACTTGTTTAGATCAAAATTTAGTCTATTACGCAAATGGTCAATTCGCTTTTTCTTCTGTTGTTCCTTAAAGGCACAGTTCAGCCTGTTGAACGATGGTTTTTAAGGCGCATTCCAGCCCTTTTAATTGAAAAAACTAACTAGGAAAATCAATTAAGCATAATTCAAAATCAGTAAACTCGATGTTTTTAACAATATAAAGGTTTTAAAATGTTAAAAACATTAAGTTTGGTGATCTTGAATTATGCTTAATTGATTTTCCTAGTTAGTTTTTTCAATTAAAAGGGCTGAAATGCGCCTTAAAAACCATCGTTCAACAGGCTGAACTGTGCCTTTAATTTTGTTGAAAAGACTATGTTGAAATTTTGTTCACGAGCTTTTTTAAAATTAAACTTGCGAGGCGGGAAATTTTCCGACCAATCAACGCTTGTTTACTATAAAAGTTATATTATAAAATATCTTGGCGAATGCCTCTTGAACTATAACCCAATTATAAATACGTTTTGCCCAAACCGCCTATAACATTTGGTCTCGCCATTTCTGCGAAAAGCAATTCATCAAATTATTAAGTTAGCAAGCGGCACTTGAGTGTGTTACTAGTATGAGACCGCGAAGCATTATGGGTATAGTCGCACCAGGCCAAGGTGATCGATGTAACATAGTGTCCAAAGAACTAGATCTGTGCAAACAAACTACATCTAGACAATTTTCCTTGCGATTCAAATTAACGTCCATGCTTTCGTCATTCACAGACACGGTCGACATGCAGTCCGTGCAACTTAAACCAGGTATTCAGTCCAAAGTCAAAGAAGCTTCTTGATCATTTAAACTGCTGTTAAGGAGGCCAAATGGCCAATGGGGGCATATAATTATATAAGGGTTCTTAGCATTAACTGATAGCATATATAGGAGAAGCAGTCACGTGAATTTGCTTCATTTCCCGAATTCAAACTCTATAGACTGTGATTTCTTTAATCATAACGAAATTCAGAGGTTCATGCCGATATATATTTTATACATATAATTAGCATGAACCCTTCATTATGTCTATGATTGCCAATTTTAATGTATGTGTGTCAACAGAATACTTTAATCAATGGGTGATGATATTATCCGACATTTTCAGTAAGTAAACTGAGCCGAACAACTGGCGCGCGAACCTAAAAAAAGCAGACATATGATATACCTAAATATGCGATCAAACCTGATCGCAAAAAAACATCAGTCTGAACGTGATTACTGACTAACACCTGCGTTAGGAAAGAGTGCAAAGACTTAAGTGAATATGAAGTCTCTTTTTCTTGTGATTTCATTGGCTGCTTTCTACGTTGCTTACGGAGTTTCTTCTTCAGGTGAGATGGAAATATAATTCAACATATTAAATGTTATTGTATGCGCAAGACAGCATACAATCAAATACGTCGTGATAGAAATTAAAGTAAACTAAACAACTTGTGAAACAGATGGTTTTGCCACTGTTTAATATTAATGTTTCATAGACCCTGAATTGCCTGTTCCAAATATTTCTCAAATATTTCTCAATATTTCTCATTATATGTTTACTGTACATTTATTGTATGTTAAGAATAAGATTCTTAGATTCTCTCACAAAATATGTCTCTCAATCTTGTTGCCAATGCAAACGTTTCACAGGCTTAGGTGAGCCATATAATATGCATGCGCATGTATGTAGTATCCATGCATGCGTATGGGATCTGAATAGCTGAGGCCAACTTTTCTACAGGTCTGAATTTCAGTTCTGGGACAAATGGACGATCATTTATGTACTTCTAAATCGGTAATTCCTGCATGTAAGGACAAATTAAATTGCTATCCCAACAATATTAATTTCAAAAGCTATTTAACAAGAGAAAAGTGGATTAATAGAGAATAATTTAACATTTACTAAACTTATTACTTCAATAATTTTACATTATTCAGTATAGCAGCTATAACTGTATTATACAACCCAGAAAATTCTAGCTATTTATAGATGTTATTACGTTTTTGCATCATATTATTAATTATTTTATATGAGTTTTAATCATTGTAGCTAAGGGACCGTTCATTATTTATACCTGGGGTTGGTACCGAAGAGAAGCGAAAAACACTGTAATTTTTATATTTACCCAACCTCAACATTGGTCAAAATAATGTTTACCCAACCCATGTGTTACTGTACTTAATAATTAAACACACAAGATTATATGGTGACAGAAATCAAGTTGCCTAAATTTTAAAAGCTCACTCAGACTCAAACTCACTGAGTGTGCCAATGGAACCACGTTCCTGCTGATCAATTAATAATAGAGTCCTTCCTCAATCACTGATAGTCTACTTTGGTACAGAATGTATTGTGCACATTTTTCTTCATATTTTCCAATGCATGGTAATTTCGGTTTTATTTTATAGCTGACAGACAGCCACAAATTTTTTTACCCAACCCATGAGCTAGTCAAAAACTTGATTACCCAACCCATATCTCTTCGGTACCAACCCCGGGTGTAAATAATGAACGGTCCCTAATATTGTCGAGGCGAAAAGAAATTCTATATAGCTCAGTTCCTTGTTCTTGTAGTGTATACATATATATCCCAATGCAGTGACGCAATGTTACAATGCAGACTACTGATGCATAGCGAAGTTACACGTTGGTGATGGTCGTTGCACTATTAATATATGAGACCAGTCTCTGCATTCATGTGTATGTGTCGTTCATGACTTTCTTTCTTTCCTTGATATGATAACTGAATCAATGAAGCTAAACGTACTAGCGGATTTACTTTTTCTTTATATTTCTCAAAATCACTTTGTACAAATCAAATACTTTAATAGCTTATGTGAGTTCTAGAAGACTAGAATATACAATATAATATATACTTAACAATTAACCTGATGACGCACTTCTGCATGACCTCTCAACTAAATATATTAAACAGTTCGGTAAACAAACAACGGATGTTCATTCAAGTGCTCCTACTTGGCCATTGAAGACATTTTAGTAATTATAGTAGTCTTTTGTCTACAGCATTAAGGTTAACCATGGCCATGCATATTTGGCTGAGGTACAAAAAATAATGGATGCGTGGTGAAAGATGCGAAAAATGCGAAATAAAGTAAAACATTAAAAGGGAGGAATGAAGTGTAGAGTGCAGGCAATGCCGTTATGTGATCTTAGTCATAGGCGTATGTACGTGGCGAGTTGGGGGGCAATATTCGCTTCACAGTCGGGCAATATTTACCCTGGATTCCAGAGCCTTCGACAGTAAATAATAGATTGAAATGTTCGCGACATTTCAATTTATTATTTACTGTCGAAGGCTCTGGAATCCAGGGTAGGCAATATTGGCTTATTATAAAAATATAAAAGTTTTAATAAATTATAATACATTCTGAAATTTTTTCGTCGTCCCCCCTCCCCCATAAAGTTATACCTACTGATTTCTATGACATTGTACTCTGGGTGCCAGAGGTTTTCCCAAGCTATATTTTGCGGGCTTTTTTGCGAGCGTGGAATTGAAAAACCTCTGGCACCCAGGGCCAGGGTAATGACAGTGCGTTTTCACATCGGTAGTAATCATGCAGCTATATGATTGTGCATGCATTATATGTCACAACATGACAATTAAATTATACCTTTTTTTATAGAAGTGTATATTATGCTTATACAAAAGCTTGACACTTTATCTATAGCGGCGAAAGTATATATCTAAAGTAAGCACTGATGCAAAACAATTAAGATAATACGTTGTAATTAATTGTCAGACACATTTTTTAAGGGCAAAATGTCAACAGACAATTCATTATTAAATTTCCTTTAAAATTGCACACAGCTGCTAGAATCATATACCAGCAGACTACCAGTTATTACTAACAGTATTATTTAATTATATTGATATTAATGAAAATATTAATAATTAATATCTTATATATCAATATTGAATAAATAATGACATTTTTGCAAAAATGCAGCATAAAGATTAAAGCTATTTTTAAGGTACGTGTTTTTTCATATGAGATATCCAGGGGCGTAGGAAGCATCAAAAGATTAGGAGGGCACCGGCTTCCAGGGGCACTTTAGGACATTGATGGGGGCGGAAGAAATTTTTTTTTTAAAAACATGGAAATTTCCAAACAAAACCGTGCCCCCCCGGTTCCTACGCCCCTGGAGATATCTATGTTTTTTTTTGCGATAGGTTCGACGTCATTTCATATAGACTACAATTGACTACAGTATATAAAGCTCGTGAGATGATTCATTTGATGTGCCATACCTATTTGACACCAACAATTTCATCAGTGAATTCAGTTTCGGTTATATAATTAACAAACCTTTCGGTTTCGGCAGACTCAAACCAAATATTGAAAATGTATTTTAAATGTAAATGTTACAATTTTTGTAAAAGAGATTTTTATCAGCCGATGATCATCCTCGTCCCCAGGCCCAAGCGCCAACCATTACAAAAGTAAGAGGTTGGCAACCTCGTACGCAGGCTATTTTCTCTTATGCTCGGTGGCACGGCCACCCTGGGTACGAGGATGAGGGGATGGGTGCATTTTCGTACCCAGAGCCCTTCTTGTTTTTTCCCGGCCGTCTGCATGTTTGTGCGGAATTTTTAGCAAAGGGTTTTTCTTTCCAATTGTGCACGATTTTTTTATTGTTTCCTTCGCGGGAATTTGTTCTGGTCCTCCCCCCCCCTCACTTTTCTAATGGTTGGCCTCCAGTTTCCACATAGTTTGATATGAATTTTTTGTCTCTTCGCTAGTTCTGTCGAAAAAGGGAAATTGTCCTTTCGTATATGAATCCGATCACAACTGCAAGAGAAAGTTTGATTTTGAATGTCTCCTGGATTTTGATTGTAATAATACAATGAAATGTTGTCGTACAGCATGTCGTCAATACAAATGTATCCAACCTTTAAGAAATAGAGGTAAGATATTACTGAATATTACCAAGTCTACTGAATATTAAGAAGAACAGAATCTGATAATTTTAAATTAGATAAAACTCGCCTCCAAACCTCGTTGGCTCGATAGGTGAAGAGGGGACCTAGAATTCCGAAGATGGGAGTTGCTTCATGTTCGCGCGCTCGAGACAATGAGTTTTTCTTTGTTCTCAACAGCGGCAGAATTAATACAAAATTTTCCATATTTCTATGGATAGAATATATTTCTGAAGAAAAATCTTTAGTGTATATATGCTGGTTATATAAACAATGTTAATCGGATTTTTTTCTAGTTTGCAACAGATACAGTGACATTGCATTCGTTCTGGACGCGTCAGGCAGCATTGGAGAAGAATCGTTCAAAAATATGAAAAATGTCATTAAGAAATTACTCGAGAAGTTTTCCCACGAGATAGGTTACCGTCATGCAACGGTTGTATATGGTGGCAAACCAAGCATCGTGTTTAACAACATTGGCACATGGAGAGGGAACCTAACAACTGGTGATCTGGTCAAGATGGTGGATAAGATACCATACTACAAATCCTCTATGACTCGTATCAATGCTGCACTGCGGTTGGTTCATCAGGACGTATTTCGTTGGTTCCAAAACCAAGATCACAGAACTAAGGTATATATGCGAAAGAATGCGAAAGCGGTCTCAAAAATTGTATGGAGCTCGAGGAATAAACAACCTTATACAGCAGGAATGCATGCATGTAGATCGATACATATGCGGACCTGATGTATCATAAGTATACTGAAACCGAAAATGAAACAAATTTTTGATCCAATTTATAGCAACATGTATGTATTAGATTTCTAACCATTATACATTTTAGGGCGTCTCCCATTGATTGTTTCGTTTGAATAACAGACACTAAGGCATATTTAGTGTCTATCATTCATGCAACGTCTCGCCGATCATGTGTGCCGTCGTGAACCTATAATTGAGATTATAGAATGTTCAGCACATGATGAAAAGTTCGACGTTTGAAGTAGGCCTTATAGGAGAAATCTTGGCGAATGTACTTCTATGTCCACTAATCATGAACTAGATTATATCAATTCCACATAGGGCGAATCTGGGTACAGGGGGTCCGCACCATGTCGCACTCTAACTCCAGCAAGACAGTGACCTATATATTAACCAGTGCCAAACTTTTCATATTTATAATATACTTTTGACAGAAGCTGCGGTGTTGACTACAGCTCCGGGATTCGCCATTGTAAATATTTTTAAGCAGTTAATAAAAGATAGTGTGCGTCAGATAAAGAAAGACATGTTTGACATGCATGAGAAATACCAATAATGCTTAAAATAAATACACTTTACTCATAATATATGTTTTGGTTTGTGGAAAACACCAGGTACGTATATTTTATTATTACAAAGCTGTATTAAACAAGCGTAATGCCAGAGAGAAGGTACTAATTAATAAAATCCTGATAATTATAGACCGATATTTGTCTTGCCAATTGTTAGTAAATTGATTGAAAAGATAGCGGCTTTTCCCAGTTTAATGAATATTTAATTGATAATAATCTGTTGGCTGAATGTGGATTTGTCAGTAGACTGTAGACCACTTGATATTCTGCGCTTATAGCTTAGACCACTTCATATTCTGCGCAACTAACTTTTTTAATTCACAAAAAAACACGTTTTATTAAATTTCGTATTCTTCACTCTTCAGTATTTTCTATAACTCAGATACTATATTTGCTTTTTAGCAAGTAACAATTGTTTATAAATTCCGCCCTAGCTAGCTAAATCGTAAATTTTCTAGTTGCAAAAACATTGTCCTCGAGGACAGGTACATTTATTCTTGATGTAAAAAACTTTAGTGTTGGCATACTTTGATTATAGTGATGTCTCGAATTATTTGGGTAAAACACTATCTGACAAACTCCAAAAAATGCCAAACAGAGCTCATGTAGAATAATAACATTTTCACCGGATTTTGACAACCTTGTCCCCAGAACCATTTCGCGTCTCCTCTGCTGAATGGCCCTGGCGACGAAGTTGAGATTTTGACGTATTTTACATATTCATTGGGGACCGGTCATTATTTATGGAAGGGGGGGGGGGGGGGAAACAATAAGGGGGGGGGCCATATGTATAAATAAATTACTAGAAGGGGGGCTATTAAATTTTTTCAAGAAAATGTGGGGGGGGGGTTGCAATTAAATTTGAAGGAATTTGCTTAATAAGCCTGGTATCCAATTGGTTGTAAATGTTGCGACTAAATCATGGTCACTGATGTGAACATAGTCTTTCGAGACATGGTCTGGAAACTCGGTAAACTTCAAAGCGGTTTTAATGAGCTGGGATTTTATGTTGAGCCGTACCTTACCTTACCCGTGCACATCCTTTGTTTTAGGTTTATTAATATTTAAATAGCATGGTTGAATGACTGAACTGAAACGTTGCTATTGGATGATTCGTTCATTATACTGAAATACAATGTGTTCATTGACCTTGCACCGTGCACAAAACTGCATAAATGCGAACAAAAAGATAGAACAAAGACTTTAGCAGAGTTTCCAAACCATGTTTTGAAAGATTATGATGTGAAATAGTCTGGATTTATCTTGTCCTTCGTGTGCTGTATGCAAATAAGTATTTACTGATTGCAGAGATAAATTGACAATGTATTATTACATCAGCGACCTTGGTGTGGTTAAATACATTTAAGCAAGGTTAACGGCGGATGTATTGTGCAGGCTACATCCGCTGAGGGAAGTCTGTGACATCATATCGATCAAAGGGAGTTGTTTCGCACCTTGTGATCAGTGCTTCGGTCTGGGTATTCATTCTGCCATTGTATGCTTTGCCTAACTGCAGCAAGTTTAGCGCTTCGATACCTTTTCTCCAACCACCGACCCACCCATGTTTATTCTAGAGGATTTTATCAAGCAGTATGTCATTTTATTTTATATAATTTTTAATCTCACATAAAATGGGATGTATGGACCACTATACATTGTATTTCGTTTCCACTGACTTGTCAATGTGACTGGTGCCGGAGGTATGTATGCCTTGACAGAATGGTCATGGCTATCTCCTTTTGCTACTAATATTACTGATTGTTGTTCTCATTGCTGCTGCGCAGCTGCTATGGCAATACTTCGTGCCATCAAGCCTAGTTACAGCCTTGGACCACAAACGGCACCTGCCTCCACACACTAATACTCTGCCGTTAAACATGGTTACAATCACCCAGACCAAATGAAAACCTGATTTTAGTGTTATTATAAAATAAATTCTCCTCTTTTAATTAAAATTTTCTGCTAATATATATTTTTGGTCGACGTTAATATCTTGTCAGCTCCATATTCTTATTTAATAATTAACACTATAACGCCTGTGTATCCCCATTTGAAGTGTAAAAATGAAAATGGGGGGGGGGGGTCAAAGAAAAATATTCTAATATGCAGGGGGGGTCATCATTAAATTTCTGGTCTTTTAAGGGGGGGCTTTCAATTTTAAAAATTTAGGAAAGAAAAAATTCCCCTCCCCCCCTTCCATAAATAATGACCGGTCCCTTGGTTGAAATTTTGACCAAAGGCGTGACTCTTGACCAAAAGCGTGCCAAGCAACTTGTGACTCTAGTAGTCTATAGTATATACTATAGTGTTTATATAGAACAGTAAATAATTTTATCCTAGTAAGCTTGATATTGTTTTCGAACCAATTACTTCACACGTCCATTCATATAAGATAACCCTTATAAAGGTCAGTATAGGGCTCAAGTAGAATATTCATCCCCAGACGCAGGCCGGCAAGAGGAGCTTCAGCTACCCTGACACCATTTTGGGGATTGGTCTTCGTGATATAATTTGAAAAATATGACTATAATACAGTCTTTTAAGTACTGTTTAATAAACGAGCAGGCAGGGATGCCGGAACCACGGGTGCAGCGGGTGCAAGCTCACCCCTTGCCTTTTGCATTTTCAACTTTGTGGGTGCAGTGCGGGTGCAGACTATGGGTGTAACAGGTGCACAAAACTTTTACAACAGACAGAATAAACGTCGCTTGAGGATGTGTGTGAGGGTGTTCCACCCCCCAGTCGTCAGGAATTCGGCAAAGTTGTTAGCCATTTGGCGAAAGGTGAAACGGAAAGCATTACTTATGGAATTTTTTAATATGAGAAATTACGGAGGAATTGTGCCTAAATAATTGTATTCGGTCCGAAACAATTTGATGACGGGGAGGGAGGTCGACACGAATGTAGGATCATGATGCCCTTTCATTTTCATTGGTGCCCTTTTGTTAAGGAGTATGGGCACCCTCTTGTTAATTAATGCACCCTTGCCCTCAGCAACTTCCGGCATCCCTGCGAGCAGGAGTGTTTTATTAGGTTTAAAGACACAAGCGCGCAGCGCGAGAGGCTTTAGACCTAATAAGACATGACCTGCGAGTTTATTAAACGGCTTCAAACACGACTACAAATTCAATAGATATACTGCCTTATTAGTATTCTTTATATAAAAAATACTAATGAGGACACGACTACAATAGATACTGCCTTATTAGTATTCTTTATATAAAGAATATTAATTAGGAGTGTTTTATCAGGTTTAAAGCCACTACACGTGACATATTATGGTTAACATGATTTGCCAATAAGCTTATGAATTATTAATGAGTGTTTGAAGAATGCTTTATATGATTATCAAATTTGACTTTTTAAGAATGCTATTATATTGAATAATCAAAATTTATATCATGTGCATGTAAATATACTAGATTTGTAATATACTAGTTTTGTATAAATTGTTTTACATGGCGTAAATATAGAGTAATTCTCACATTTTTTGTTATCTTCTAACTCAAGATGATCGTCCTGTTCACGGATGGTATTCAGAACACTCCACCGTATCAAGAAGGTCTCGTAGAAATTGGAAAGTTGTTGGATAATGAGAATATAAAAGTGTTCGGCATTCTCACAGGAGAGCAGAGAAACATGAATGCCTTATTGAATTTGTGCACAAATGATCAATTCATCTTTGAACCAGAGTTTCTTCCAGAATTGATCGAGGTTATGTATCATGAAACTGAATATTATTGCTAAGGTATAGTTTCTATAGCTTCTTTATGTTTTTTCTCACTGCATATAGTTATTCTGTATTAGGGACCGGTCATTATTTATGGCAGGGGTGGGGGCCGAAGAGAAAGTATAATGAAGCCGGAAAAAATCATTACCCAACTTTTTCGAAACAAAATTTCTAGCTACCCCACCGGTGGAATGCCAGAAAATTTTTTTACCCCACCCAAACCTATTTTGTTGCAATGTCAAAGGTTCAGACATAAAATATGTAATGAAACAGTTTAGTATTTTGTATGCATATTACTCATCAAGGTACAAAATTGCCCTTGATGAGTAAGATCATCTGCTGTTAGAGAGTAAATAATTAACAATTATTGGATGAGGTTTTTGTGATATGCGGAATTATCAAGGTCGAGGTAAGCGTTATCAGCCGAGTCGAAGCTGATAACGCTTACCGAGACCTTGATAATTTTGCATATCGCAAAAACCGAATTCAATAATTGTTTTATTATACATTTGAAAAATAATAAACATAGTATTTTAATATTTTAATTTTTTTGCGATATGCAAAATTATCAAGGTCTCGGTAAGCGTTATATTCAATATGATTTCTGGCAAAGCTGTTCAAGTAAAACGTTTCTATAAAGAAGTCTCCGGAAGTCCAACAGTTAAATTAATTACAAATATAGAAGAAACATATATTATCGTTAAGATGTTGTAACGTATTAAAATATTTACTTGTTAAAGTAAACATTACAATTATGAAATGTACATTCATTTGAAAATTGAAATGTACACTCATTTGAAATGTACACTCATTCAACCTCACGCAACCTACACAAAATTCAGTTATCTGCTAGCAGATAACTGAGTTATCTGCTAGCAGATAACTGAATTTTGTGTAGGTTGCGTGATTGCGCGATTTAACTGTAAGCTCTTAGCCAATCAAATTGCTTTTACCAACTACAATGTATAATAATAATAATAAACTGAGTAGACTCGATGCATGCCCGAACGCCACGCGCGAGGGCAAAAATTACAACAGGCACTTTTGGGCAGCCTATGATGAAACTGAAATATTTTTCTGTTTAGTATAGGTAATAGCATGGTTTCGAGTGCAATTTGGATATAACATGCACGAGTGAGTTTTTCAAAGACCTCAAAATAGCACGAGTCCGAAGGACGGGTGCTATTTGAGGTCTTTGAAAAACTCACGAGTGCATGTTTATCCAAATTTCACGAGAAACCATGCTATTACTTATTAATAATTTACATAAAAATGTTTCAGACAATTGTAGTTTTAACTTACGCGTTTTAATATAGCGAACATTCCACCGGCAAACTTTTCCCGGCTTTGTTATCACATTATGCAACGCTAAGCTTGAAAATTCCACTCAACTATGTAATTTTTGTTAGTCTTGTTTAAGGTCAATGCTTTTCCATTTAAAAATAAAGATAAAAGCCATATTTTTCACGCGAAAGCAACTTTTACTTCACTGTAGGGCGGCGCCATGTTTGTTTTGTTTTGAAGCCTCTGTGACCGTTACTTCTTTAAACTAAATTGCTTTAAACTGATTGGTTGATTTAATCATCACAATGTTTTTCCACCAATCAGATTAGTTTGTTACAGATTTTTGCACTGTGATTACAGAAAATTGCACTGTGATTACAAAAAATTGCACTGTGATTACAGAAAATTGCACTGTGATTACAAAAAATTGCACTGTGATTACAGAAAATTGCACTGCTGTTTGGGATTAACTGCACTGAAATCAACCAATCACAGTCGAGTAATATCTTTATGTATATTATTACATATATAATCACTTTAATCTTGTAGAAACACGACTAAAAACGTGAACGTTTTCTTGAGATGTAACATGTTTACAGTTGACAGTGTATATTTTAAACTGAAAATTATAAAACATTGTTTCGTAGCTATTTTTTGGTCTAGTGACATTCGTATCATATGTAAAATTGCTGTATAGACTCGCAAGTGATTTGGCACTCAAAACGAAGTATTATTCAACGCTTTTTTCCATTACAAACCTTTCAGAAATAGCTTTTTTGTTTTGATCATGCGGTTGCGTGGGATAGTTCATTTTCCATTACTCTCTCCCAAAATACCTGTCCGACGACATTGAAAAACTTCAAAAGCGTGCTTGTAGCAGGGCCTTTTTTAACATATAAGCTGGGGGACATTTGCCCCAGGCCCCCCTTGTGCCCCCCCCCACGAAATCACATTTTGCCCCCCCCCCAGGAAAAGTCCCTTTTTCCTAAATTTATACCAACAAAACAGCGAAGAATAACAAATAAATAAACGGAAAGTAAGTTTTAGGCTTTATCCTTTGTCCTTGTTTAACAAAATCGATTAGTAAATTGTTACGTTTTTCTATCACTAAGTAATGATAAATTATTGTTAATAATTTTTTATTTTTTGGTTGCTCAGAATGCAGGAAAGAGCATTTCCAGGTTTCAAATTTGAAAAATGTTCTGGAGATTATGCACACAAGTGGCCTTCGGCCATTGGTATCCCCCTCTAATAAGTATAATGATAAATTACGGTTAATATTCTTTTTTACTTTTTGTGCATTTTTTCCTTCTTTTATTTCAAATACAAGTATAGTTAGCATAAATTTTAGAGCAAATTTGGATGCTCAGAATGCAGGAAATGGCATTTCCGTGTTTTAAATTTCAAAAATGTTCTGGGGAGTACACCCCCACACACGTGACCATTGGGATCCTCCTCTAATAAGTAATGATAAATTATGGTTATTATTTTTTTTTACTTTTTGTGGGTTTTTTCCTTCTTTTATTTCAAATACAAGTATAGTTAGTATACATTTTGGAGCGCATTTGGATGCTCAGAATGCAGGAAATGGCATTTCTGTGCTTCAAATTTCAAAAATGTTCTGGGGAAGTACCCCCCCCCCCTCATTCATGAGTGCATGGTATGTTCGGCGCACACGTGGCCTTCAGCCATTGCTATCTCCCTGTAATATATTATCTCACAGAAAGGTCCCTTTTCAAAAAATGCCCCCCCCCCCACGGGAAAATCCTTAAAAAAGGCCCTGGCTTGTGGAATAGTATTACCAGATCATCCGTATAATGAAGCCGGCTGCAAGAAGACATAACGTAACAAACTTGGCTGCAAGACGACATAACGTAACTAACAAACTTTTTAAACTAGTCACTGATGATCCTGAGAACAAACTACATGAATTATTGCCTCCAGTGAACTCCTTAGAAATATGCTTGCGGGGAAGAAGAATGTTTCAAATTCCTAATTTTAAGACAAATAGATTTAAGAATGATTTTATTAATTGTGATGCATGTAAATACGTAATTGAATCGAGCCAATTTTTACAACAGTTAGTCGATCTAACTTTAACTTTTAACTACTTGCACAACTTAATAACATTATTCAGGAGACGTCCAAGGCCTAAGCTGCGCGTCTCAGTTTAAATTTAATAAATCTATCTATCTATCGTTTGTTGGAATCTGCACTCTTCTTGGTTAGCAAAAATCTTCGGCGATACATTTTGCTACATATTTATAATAATAATAATAATAATAATAATAATAATAATAATAATAATGGAAACTTTTTATTAGATATTTACGATATACTATATATACATTGATAAACCTCACTTAATAAAAGGTAGCTTATCGATGTCCACTTGAATTGAATTTAAAGCTAAAATATATATACAGGTGAAAATCTTTTAAATTTAGTTAAAAGTTTAAAAGTTCTGGGTTGTTCCAGTCTTTGTTTCGTCTACAGAATATATAATACGACGTGCGAATACAAGTAGCAATTATTTTCTTTTTTACATATTTAATACATTGTTCGTCGTACTTCAGATCATGGAGCATATCAAATAAAGTATTCGTCGATTCACCAAATACACCTAAAGAGCTTATAGATACATTAACAAACTTAACTTCATCATATATATTTTCTTGATCGGTAATTAGAGTCAAATATTTTTCATGTTTTCGATCTGAGTTAGTTTTCAGGTTTGTTTCGAATCCAACAGTTAATTCTAGAATGTACAAAATCTTATTTTCAATTGTCAATAGAAGGTCTGGTCGTAACTCGTCACCAGTGATGACAGATGGGCTAATAAATCCAGGCAGATCTACATACATTTTGGACCTTCCGACGTCGAGAAGGCTGGACGCAATGAGATTCAAAACTGAATCATGTCGCCATGTATATCTCCCTTCGTTTAGATATGTCTTACATCCAGAGATTATGTGCAAAAGCGATTCAGGGCAGAAGCAGAACGAACAGTCAGCAGATGATGACAGACCCCATTTAACTAGGTTTTTCCTAGTAGGCAAAGAATTGTTGATGTAACGTAGACTGAAGTTAAATATGTTCTTAGGAAGTTTTGAATGAACCGATGACCATAGGGAATTGAATGCCAACGTGGAGTTTTTCACGATGTTTGAGAAAAAAGAACCTTGTGACATTAGGTTATTTTGTAGTCGCTGTTCGTTTTTTTGTCTAAATGCCTTCAATACATCTTTTGTGTTTGAGTAAATGTCGTACTGAATGTTTCTATTGGTGCTTGTTATTGACCATAATTCATAATAATAATAATAATAATAATGGAAACTTTATTGAAATTATATACTATATACAATTATAAATCTCACTAATTTAGGTAATTTATAATTGGCTACTTGAACCTACTTAATATTTATATATTAATAATGAGTATCCTTAAATGTTCAGTGTCGCGTTCCCGCGCCTCAGTTGACTCGTGGAGCCGAAAACGACAAGGAATTCGCATGTGTCAACCACACTCGCACGTCTGGCTACATGTTTTAAATGATTTTATTTGTACAAATGCGGTGAAAACTACAAAAAAAATACACATAGAGACTAAATACGCTTAAACCTAACTGAAATACACCAAAATATCAAGGTAACTTACGTCTATAGGCTTCTATAAATGTAAAAACTCCGGATAAACTATGTATCGAAAAATCGATATCGAAAAAACGTTCTTAATGCGTTCTCTTGTTGCTAAGCAACAAAAACGTGAGCTGTCCTGGACTCCAGTTTCTTAAAAATATATAAGATAAAGTATTACTGTATAACTTTAAATGTCAATGACTCAACACTCCTCGCCCAAGAATTAGTAATTCTTGAATCACTGTTCGCTCGGAGCCGATATAAGTAGAATCAGTTCGCTAATCGGACGGAATACAGTCTTCTTGCTTCCTTCTTTGAAGATCACAACTTTCGCCTTCCTCACTTCGCCATCTTCACTTTTGATGCTCTCCGTAACTCTGCCCATCGACCAATCATTGCGATGTAGATCCCTGTCTTTCACTAGCACCACGTCTTCATCGACCAGATTCTTCTCTCTCTCCTGCCACTTGGGTCTTGACTGAAGGTTTTGTAAATACTCCCTCTTCCAACGCAACCAAAATTGGTCGGCAAGATATTGGACTCTTCTCCAGCGCTTTCTAGCATACAAATCTTCCCTAACAAACACGCCTGGTGTTGCAAGAAGTGGCTTCTGCTTCATGGTAAGAAGCATTGATGGTGATAAGGGAACCGGTTCATCAATGTCGGCTGACACTGTGGCGATTGGACGACTGTTTACAGTAGCTGTAACTTCGGCCATCAACGTAAGAAGCAACTCGTCGTCGAATTGAGCAGCTCCGATCTTTAAGAGCATTGCGTCTAACACTCTACGAATTGTTCCTATTTGTCGTTCCCATACACCGCCGAAATGTGAGGCGTGTGGGGGATTGAATTTCCATTCGCACCCTTGCTCTGCAACGTATTTCTTCACTTTCTCTGCATCCATTTCGTTGAGTGCGCTGTCGAGTTCGGACTTTGCCCCCACAAAATTTGTACCGCAATCGCATCTTAAAATGGCGGCCGGCCCACGAATAGCAAAGAAGCGTCGTAACGCACAAATAAAGGAATTCGCGTCCATTGAGTGGAGTATCTCGATGTGGATTCCTCTGCTACTGAGACAGGTAGACACTAAGCCCCATCGTTTGGCATTTGTATCTCTTCCTCTGAGTTTCCTGACTTGAATCTGCCACGGACCAAAAACATCCAAACCAACGTTGGTAAAAGGTGGATGGGTCTCCATTCGATCGACAGGAAGGTCGGCCATGTGTTGCGTGAGTGTCCGTCCTCTAAGCTTTTTGCAAGTGACACATACGTTGACCATTCTTGATACTTCTTTGTGACCATTGATGACCCAGAAACCAGCTTGACGGACTGCTCCATGTGTGATTTGTCGCCCTTGATGGTGGATAACTTTTTCGTGGTAGTGACGGATTATGAGCTGCGACACATGATGCTTCTTCGGCAGCAGGATTGGATGTTTCTCTTCGAAGGTTAGACTCGATCGATTAAGACGTCCACCGACTCGGAGAACCCCATCCTGATCTAGGAACGGATCTAATCCTGCGAGATTAGACTTACGGAGTGCCCTTCGTTGTTCTTTCAGTTGATCACGACATTCCGTCTCCTTGTTTTCTCTTTTTAGCACACTGATGTCATCTGCGAATACTTCATTTTGCACCGCTTTTATGATTGCTATTTTTGCACTTTCGTTAGAATCTATCGATGTCGGGTGTCGGTGTTCGTTCTCAACGTTTTGGCCATCATCAAGGCTTCGTACGTCTTTGTTTGTTTTCTGGTTTCTTATCTTGGCGATGAGACAGGATACCGCGCGCTGAAGTTTTAGCCAATCCGAGAAGCGTTCGAACCGTTTTGACTTCAGACCCGTTTCTCGTGTTGAGCTGGTCACATACGCGTTGACTTTAACCTCGGGATCGTTTTCGTTAATAGTGATGTCGTCTATTATTGGCGACGCCGCCTCGTCAATAGATGGTTCATTCGATTGGTTCATCTTCAGAAATGTTGGACCCTCGAGCCAGTCGGATTCTATCAGCCCCTTAGCCGTTGTGCCACGAGTTGCTAAGTCTGCTGGGTTTGTAGAAGTGTCAACGTAGTTCCATTGGTGAGGCTCGGATGTATCTCTGATTACCTGGACTCGGTTGGCGACATAAACGTGGAATCTACGTGCATCGTTGCTGATGTATCCTAGGACGACTTTGGAGTCTGTATAGAACTTAACATCGTCTATCTTTAAATCAAGTTCCGTCTGTATCTTCTTCACAGCCTTCGTAGATAACACAGCTGCACACAGCTCGAGCCGAGGAATGCTTGTCGGTCGGATTGGTGCAACTTTTGCTTGACCAAATACCAAACTAACACTCACTTCGCCCTTCTGGCTGAGTTGCTTCAGATACGCTGCTACTCCAACAGCTTCTTTACTCGCATCAGAAAACGCATGGATTTCGTTTCGTACTACGGCACCAAAGTTTTTAGGGTGATAGCATCGGTTGGCAGATACGTTCTCCAAGCCTGTGAGTTGGTTCTTCCAGCGATTTCACTGATGGTTCAAATCTGAAGGGAGAGGATCGTCCCATTTAAGAGGTTGGTCGTTCGCTTTTTCTTTTCCGAGAATGAGCAGCTTCTGCAGTAGTAGTTTGCCGACGAGTATGACTGGAGCCGCTAATCCTAGGGGATCGTACAGTGAGTTCACTATGGACAAAACTCCTCTACGTGTTAGTGGTTTCTCGGGAATTGATACGTTAAATGTCAACTGATCGTTCTCTAAATTCCATTGGACTCCTAGGGCACGTTGTATTGGTAGAACGTCTTGACGGAGATCAAGGTCTTTCATCTCTTTCGCACGGTCTTCCGGAGGAAAGGCTCCCATCACCAACGCTGAGTTCGACGCCACTTTATGAAGATGTAGATTGGCTGTTTTTAGACACGCTTGTGCTTTCTGTACCAGGTCGGCTACTTCTTCTTCCGTCGACGAGGACGTCAATCCATCATCCACGTAGAAATCTTTGCATATAAACTCTTTCACCTTTGACCCATAATCCTCCTCGCCGTCTTCGGCTGTTTTTCTCATTCCGAAAGTTGCTATTGCCGGGCTGGGACCATTACCAAAGAGATAGACAGTCATTCGATAGTCTACTATCTCTTGTCTTGGGTCGTTGTTCTTGAACCAGAGAAACCGAAGATAGTTTCTGTGTTCCGAGTTGACATGGAACGAGTAGAACATCTGCTCTATGTCACACATGACTCCGTGATTTTCTTGACGGAACCGCATCAAAACACCGATTAGGTTGTTCATTAGATCTGGTCCTGCTAACAATTCCTTGTTGAGGGAGACACCTTCGAATTCACACGAGGAATCGAATACCACACGGATCTGATCTAACTTTCTCGGGTGATAAACTCCGAAGTGGGGAAGGTACCACACATTATTGGTCTGACTGTGATGTGCTTCTGTTGGTGGGACGTCTTGTGCTTCTGTTAATTCTTCGTTAGGTACGACTTCCGCATGACCACGATCGATTACCTTGGACATGAACTTCAAGTAATCCTCTTGCATCTGGGGTTTTCTTTTAAATGTTCTCAATAACCCATTCAAGCGATTAAGTGCTTGCTTCCTGTTATTTGGCATCATCACTTTCTCGGAACGAAAAGGGAGTGGCATTTCCCAATTACCTGAATCGTTTTTATGGATTCCCTTTTTCGCGATATCCAGGAACTGGCGATCTTCACGAGATAAAGCGGCTTCATTGTCCTCTGAAGTAATGCAGTAAATTTCATCTCTCTTTTTCCGTGGGACATACTTCGTGGTCTTCTTTCACCTTGAAATAGTTTGTACATGGAACTGCTTCGGCTGGAGCAACATCGTTCATATCTGTTGGACTTGCATTGCCGGGTTTTACTACTTCTAATGTTGTATGGCATGCAGACACGTGTACGGGTCCACCTACGCGATCGAGACACATCTGGCCAGAAACTGTCCAACCCAGTAGAAGTTTCTGAGCCCAAAGCTCCTTTTGGACCATTTCTAGATTCACGAACTTTAAGTAGCTCCGGAGCGTCTCTGCCAAGGAGGATTTCGATCTTTGCATCATCATCCAGCGGTGGGATCTCGTTGGTAATATCATGGAGATGAGGGAAATTCTTCGTCATAGACGGGGTTGGGATCTCATTCTTTTCTTGTGGAATATGATCGCACTCTATTAGCTTAGGAAGTCTCACAACCGTTCCATTTAATGACTTGACCATTATTCCAGACACTCTACGACCATATTTCGTCTCTTTGGCACTGCTACAGGTGGAAAGCAGGTATTTTTCTTTAGGTGTATCTACTTCCAGTAGATCAGCAAGGTTGGGCGTAATCATGGATGCGTTGCTTTGTTCATCGACAATTGCATACGCTCTGTGAACTGCGTTTGGGTTGTCCTCGGTAAAGACATCAACCAACACTATTTTGCTACAGGACAGTCCTCCAGTATTTCCTCGACATACGGAGGTGCACTTCGACTTGACTTCTTCATTCACTTCTTTATCCTCTTTCTCTTTGAGCTGCTTTTCTTTGTGTAGTATAACGAGATGGCGAGTACTGCTACACTCGGTACATTTCACCTCCTTCTTACAATCTTTAGCGCGATGCTTTCCAGAAAGACAACGGAAACAAAGACAACGGAAACAAAGACCAACTGACTTCAGCCATTCCATTTTCTCTTCAAATTTCTTTGCTATGAATGCTTTGCAATCCAATAATTCATGTCCCTTTCTGACGTGATAATAACAATGTTTCTCGTGTTTTCTTTCATCGCTCTGATCATCATCTTTCGTTTCGGTTCGATAGACCTTCGTATGACGGTCACCATTTCCCTGCTTGTCGTTTTTCTTTGCATGTTCTGGAACCGCTTCACCTGCCGAGACATTGAGATGATTCTTTAACTTAGCTTGCTTTTGCATCATAACTGCAAATATATGAAATCCGGGATAATCATCGTTATTTTCTTCTGCATAACTGACCACTTTCTTCTCCCACTTGAATCGAAGAAAGTTTGGAAGGTTATCAACAATTGGTCGTATTGCGCTCGCGTAATTCAAGCAGGCAAGTCCTGGTAAGTTGTTGATTTGGTTATCTACATCCATGCACACGTCTGCGAAATCTTGCAACTTTGCTTTATCTCGCCCGTTAAACTTTGCCGATTGTTGCAATCGTTGTAATAGTGAGTTTGTTATAATAGCAGTGTTCCCAAATCGCCTTCCCATTTCAGTCCAGAGGTCACGAAGAGTGATTACGGGATCACTTTGTTGTCTTTTCCTGTAGTTGTCCACTAGTTCTCGAACTTTGCCTTTGGTGTAGTTTCTGAGATAAGCCATTTCTTGGTTAGGATTTAAGTTTGCATCATGAATCATAGCATTGAATGATTTTTTCCATGGATGGAATAGAGTTGCATCCCCTTGAAATACTTCTGGATGACATTTTGGGAGATTCTGTCTCGCTAAGCTTGCAACAACACGTTCATTTGTTTTTGCTATCCCTTCAATACATTCTTGGTAAGCTGCTGGGCTGGGAATAGGAGATGAAGGTGTGAAAATGGGTGGGTTTCCTGCAAATCCTTTAGGGGTGAATATACTCTTTGATCTATTGTCATTAATATGTTCATTAACATTCGCCACTTGTATTCCCTCAGCAATTTGGTTTGTTACTGGTGGTAATTCGGTTGTATTCTCGGTTGTTTCAGGTTTATGGTGGAGGGTGTCGACGTTTGGGTCTGTCAGATTGGGTTTGTGTTTGGAGTCGCTGTGGGTGTCGACCCATACTTTAGTTCGGGATTCTGTGTCTTCTACTTCGAGGTCTCTTTGCTTGGTTAACAGGTAAGGTAGTTCTTCTTTCATAATTGACTGTTCTATAGCATGAAGCTTAGCGTTTGCAATAGCTTCAGCCTTCTCTGCGGCTAGGATAGCCATCTCTATATCATGTTGGGCGCGCCTTTGTTTCAGGCAAAGTTCTTCTTCGGCTTCGAATAATTTTCTCTCGTTTTCTCTTTCTGCCATAATCCGATCGAACTCTGCCATTTTCTTTGCGGCCGCTGCTTCTGCCATAGCTCTTCTCCTTGCACTGGCCGATGATGATGAGCTTGCCCGGGACAGTACACTACGCCGGGTACTCCTTGAACTTAGAGAAGGAGCAGTCTCTGGAGGCTTAAATCTATCTGTTGCATTGTTGATTGCTTTCCATGCAAAATCCAAAATGTCTTTACCATAACTTACATGTTCATATGCTTGGTCAGATAGTTCTCCCCATTTATCTTTTTCTAATAAGCTGTTTAGCTCCTCCAACAAGTCCTTGTACTTCATGTAAGATGTTCTTGTACTTGATAAGTAAATGTCAAAATCCTTGGATAGGGGCCCTAGTGACAAGACCCTGTTCATAGATTCTGATGCTGCTTTTAGAGACTTCCCCTCTCTAGTGAGATCTGTTAACGTTGACTGTATAGCGTTCTGTATAGCCTTTTGTGATAATGTACGACTTCTTCGGTCATCCCCATTTGTCCCCTTAGTGTCAGCTGGCAAGACTTGTTGTGTCTTACCCCCCGTATTATGAGCTGACCCCCCGGAATGTAATGTTGACTCCCCTTTTGCGTTGCTTGACTGTTCATGCTCCTCGATCTGTTTTGAATTCCTGGATTCTGCTCTATTTCCAGGCTCCCAATTCTCACGACTCTTGGTACTCATTCTCAGCACATATCAAATATACAACAAAATTCTACTTACAAAATGACTCCACTGACCATTTGAACCCCACAAAGAACTGTAGACTTTTCACTGTCGCGTTCCCGCGCCTCAGTTGACTCGTGGAGCCAAAAACGACACGGAGTTCGCATGTGTCAACCACACTCGCACGTCTGGCTACATGTTTTAAATGATTTTATTCATACAAATGCGGTGAAAACTACAAAAAAAATACACATAGAGACTAAATACGCTTAAACCTAACTGAAATACACCAAAATATCAAGGTAACTTACGTCTATAGGCTTCTATAAATGTAAAAACTCCGGCTAAACTATGTATCGAAAAATCGATATAGAAAAAAGTTCTTATTACGTTCTCTTGTTGCTAAGCAACAAAAACGTGAGCTGTCCTGCACTCCAGTTTCTTAAAAATATATAAGATAAAGTATTACTGTATAACTTTAAATGTCAATGACTCAACAAGTACATCTCTTTGTATTAAATCATGGGTAATTGAATGCACTGTTTCCTTACTTGTCTTGATTCCATGGTAGCCTGTGCGATGCGATTTGTCACACTCCTCATAAACACTGTCCACAATTTTGTTCATTACAGTCATGCTACGAGCACATCTCTGTGCAGCTGCCTCAGTTATCTTCCCTCCCATTGCATGGAGCATCTTTTTTACATCCAAATTAAGGTGCTCCATGTGGAGATCTAGTGCAATGTTACCCCCTTTCTTACCCTTCTTGTTGACAAAGCGGTTGTGAATAAGCAGATATGCTTCTTTTTCCGATAGCAAGGCATAAATCTTTGCAAAGAAGAGTAGAAGAACAAATGCATACTTTGTATGGTGGAATTTGTACTGGAGTAACAGAATCATCTTGTAGCACCGAACAAGCCTGTTGCCATCCCCTTCTTGAACAGCATCCATCATGTTGAGTACTAACAGCCCACATTGTAGCCTTGCATTGTGGTATTGATAAATTGGATCACTAGAACTCTTCTTATGCTCTGTGACAGGGGGCTTTGCATCATCATGGTTCACATCATGTTTTGAGCTTTCATGTCTAAATACAGTGAAGTGTGGAAAAAATGCTTGGTTTGGAAAAAGATTAGACTTTTATTGGGTAAACTGAAAAGAACATTTATTCAAATATACAATAAATAAGGAGAACTTTGTATGTATTGTATACACAAAACTCATTACTCCATTAATGAACAGGAATTCCCCAACACAAAACAAATAAATACAAGCATACCTTTTTCGAGTAGCTTTAGTGATGAAGACATCAGGACAGTGAGAGTTCCTACATTTGTAATAACCTAGCCTGTCCCTATCCAGGTCACCATCTTCAGCAATTTCTATTCCAGGATGTTGTGACACTTCATGTCTGTATACAGTATTATGTACGAACAAAGAAAAAGTAATTGTGGTAAACAAGTACTTTAATAATTAATAAGCTCTCAACTGTTTCCATTTATTAAATTAACCCATTGAGCCCTAGCACTTTCCCTTGACAAGTAAAAAAGTCAAGTGTATGGTGCATTGGAGCACAATGCAACTTATGGGTTAATAGGGAAAATTATACTTCTTTAATACCTGACTCTACTTGAATGTAGATGAAACACTGTAGAACAGCCTTTACTACGGCAAGCAAAGCCTTGTCTGTGTGCAATATCAAGTTCATCAACTTTTTCAGCAACATCACAGGGCTGAAGCACTTCGTGAAGGAACAACTCAACCTCTTTTTTCAACCAAGATACCTTCTCTTGAACAGTCCATGTTCTTACGACAGGAATAGATCGTTTCAATGGGGTATCTATAAGATGCGAGAAATGTCTAGACTAAATTAAATATGTGAGGGATTTGCCACATCTACCTGTGCAAAACTTATATATGACTATGTGAGATGTGACGATGAGTAATGCATGCAACTGAGGACAATTATTATTATCACCTTCATATGTCTACATTCCAGCAAATTTCATCCATCGGGCAATAAGATGTGCCTCTGTCTCTCTGTCAAAAAAACTCCTTATAGGCATTATAATCTTTATCTGGTCCTTTCTTGGCATTTGTCTTCCCATTGCGATTCATGGAGGCATAGCTGGTCCCTATATCAGCTGCTGAGCCTTCTTTCACGAAGAGTTTGAATAAAAGCTTGGAACAATAGCAAAACAATGTATTCATATGTAATGTGTTAGGGGTCATCCATAATAGACGTTATGCATAATGACGTCACAAGAGGTGATGCGTGCAGGGAATTCTGGCCTTAGTAGTCACAGTGTGAAACTTTCAAAGCAAATTTGTTTTGAAAGTTGCCCACTATATTAAGACCAGAATTCCCTGCATGCCTAACTCCTTATGACGTCATTATGCATAAAGTCTATTGTTAACATTTTCACAAGCATATGGAGAGTACTCTTTTTTCAACCCCTCCTCCATATATATAGGTCTAAAATCATGATTTTCCTACCCTTCTACGGGTCTCAAGTTCAAATACTGTATGTATACTGAAAACCCCCATCATAAGCATTAGAATTCCTCTGCCAAAAATATCTTTCTTCTATCCCATGGAAAAAATGATGTAAACTGGACTATGTTATTTTCTTACCATAAGCATGTTTTTTCCAAGATGCCAATCTGCAAATGATGTCTCAAGCCCACTCAAGCGTTCAGTTGGTTTATCTGCTACAGAGTTGGCTAACTGAGCATTCCTTGCGCGTTCTTCGGTAAGCTGGTCACCGTCAAGAAATACTCTCTGTAGGATTTCAGATTTGCCATCAACATAGGTAGATGGTACAAATTTCTCCTGTATATTGTGCATTATTTCAGCCATTTCTGCTGCCATGTTTGAGTTCTTAAACTCCAGACCTAAGGAACACTACAAAACAGGAATGAAAAATTAGAATGCATTTATTTTTTCAGTGTTTCATTGGTATCTAAAGAATAAGAAATTTTAGCCAGGGAACTGGCTAGTAGCAATACTCATACTTGTTTTCAAAATTTTGGTTGGTATGCTTCTCATAATCTCCAAAGATTCCATACTCTAACCTTAAGGGGTTACCACAGCATGAAAATTAATACAAACAAAACAGATGGAGACAAGCCTTGGTCAGACCAAGGTAGGTAAATGTGTGCATGACACATTTACACTGGTATTTTGAGACAGTGGCTCACTTGGCATAGAATTTCAGCAAATTTATTTTGTAACTTTAATTTATTTGTCTTGTCCGGTGGTTGTTCGCTCTGGGCACACAACTCCACGGAAACATTAAGCCCAGACCAGGGCCGAAAGTGTTTACATTGCCACCGGTTGTGGTGAGCCCAGATTACCTGGCCAATGTCAGGCCAAGTCTAGTCCATTAGTTCTGTTCACACTGTCAAAATGTAGGCCAGGCTAAGGCTTGTAGTGTAAACATGACTCTTAAGGACAGCTGAATTCAATTTATATTTTTTTGTAATTTAATTTGTTAACACACATACGTACCACATGTGACTGTGCAATCATTTCCACTGAATGCTTTTGGGGAATGTGATATATCACAGCATTTTTGAACATCTCATAAGATGGCAAATACTTCACAATGATTCTTGGAATCAGGAAAGTAAGGTCATGTATTAAGGCGGCATGCACCTCTGGTGTTGGGAGGAACTCCTTCATCTGTAGGTCTTTTAATGGTTTTTGTGGGTTCACATCTGGTAAATCACATATCACACGATCCTTCACAGCATAAATCTGAAACCAATGCAGGGATTGGTTGGGCTTTTTGTGACTCTGAATTCGGGCTCTCTGCTCAATATCAATATTATCTCCAACAATCCTATATCAAATGTAATAAGAAAAAATTAGTGATTTCAAGAAAGAAAGTGTTGATGCTCAATGTATTTGGGTTATGTAATCATTGGATACACCCCACATCTTATTAGTTAGTAATAGTTCATGCAGAAGGTCTTGTTAATTCAATTACTTGTTTGTAGCCCCACTTTTGAAAGTGTTAAAGTGTTCCAAAAAAACCCATCCAAACCCTACCATGGATGTTTGCAGAGCAATAAGGATTGAAAACTTTTTTGACCCCCCCCCCTCCAGACTCAGAAGGCAAACTTTTTCTGACTCCCCCCTCATAAAAGTAGAAACTTTTCTGACCCCCCACCCCCCTCCAGTGTGGATTGAAAAATTAACACATCCAATGAAACAGGTGTGTGTTGCAGGTAAAGTTAGATATTAGGACAATCTGTTTAATCTAGCTCAAGATGTTTTACCCTGGTGAATATGATTCAACCATATATGATTAAAAAAGATATATTATGTGTTAATATTTTGCAATGCAACATTTGTCCTACCATAACCCTAACCCATGGCCCGTCTTCATACAGAGAAATGATTTGAACACAATGACGGGTTTTTTTAAGAACTTTTCTGGGGGCATACAAAAAGAGACCATACTATGACATACATAGAGATGACAGATGGTTGTTTGTGACAAAACGTTTGGTGTGATATCGTATGTACTAGTAGGGAGGTTTGGGGGAATTCTCCCTCAGAAATTTTTTTGTATTTTTCCACCCCTAAAACTGAAATGTGAGCATTTTCTGAAACAGATTTTTGTATATACAGAGTTAATTGTGCTTTGATAGACCGAATCTGATCAGTTAAGTGTACTTGCATGGTATATTTATATAAATACCACAACTGGGTGAGACTCACAGGGTAGGAAGCTTTAGTGGGCCTGACTCTCACTACCATGGTTGGCACTGAGCAGGGAAATTTTGAACACTTTGAGTCTCTAGATCATTGGAAATAGCATTTTCAGAGTCTTCTTTTTTTGCTATTTGTGATTATAATAGAAATCAGAACTCTAGACATGGTAATTAAGTTCAAAAACTTTTTGGACCACTCCCTTTCTCTGTGTTAAAACTTTTTTGAACCCCCCCCTACTTATAAGGGTAAAACTTTGTTTCCCCCCTCCCATTTACCCCCCCCCATCCCCATAAATAATGACCACTCCCTAAGGGGTCAGTTTGCTCATCTTCTTTGGGGTGAAGAATATATTCCATTAATACATATAAAATGATATTCCAAAGGGGGGGGGGGGGGGTCATGCAAGTGTATTAGAAATAAACAATATACTTAAACAACAATACACAACCACACATTTCTTTCAGGTATTATATAATTGTAATAACACTGACTTGCATGGGTTTCTATTGACTTTAGGCGTATAATAGTCAGAAGCACATCCCCCTTTTTACTCCAGACGCATATCAACCGCACCCACATGTTTTTGATTGGATAAGGTTTTAACCCATTGAGTGGTAGCACTCGACAAGTAAAATCGTCTGGCGTAGCTAGACAGAGTAATATACTAAATTAGGTGCATCAGGGTGCATTTTTGGTTTACCCATTAAGTGTCAGCACTCTCCACTTGACAAGTAAAATCGTCTGGTGTTAGACAGAGTAAAATACGAAAATATGGTGCATCAAGGGTTCATTGCCACTAAGGGTTAATTGAATTACTATTTTATATTTTTATACTAACCTGTATAATGGAAGCTTCTCTCCTGTAAGTGATTTCATAGCAGCTACAAATTCTGAATCTTCATATATTAGAACATTATCATCACTCTTTTGACCGGAGGCAGAAGTTCGAGACAATACTTGTACGTTTCTTCATCAAAATACCTGTATTTCTCTACTGCACTAAGAGAAAAGTCCACTGAACATAAAACCATACCGTCGTTCGTAGCGGTCTGCGAGAGGAGAGCTTCTTGCAGTAACTTGTAATTTTTGCGGTTTCTTTCTATCTTGTTTTTCCATACCAAGATATCGGTGTTATAATGCTGGGCAGACGATTCGAGCTGCTCGCGGATCGTGTTTGGGTGACTTGACAAACCAAGACGATGGAACATTATTTCGTTTCTACAGCAACCAGCTGTAAGGAGGGTGTTGATTCTGGAGACAAAATTAGATCTTGGAATCAATGTATTTAACATCGCAGATATGGCCAAAGCTTGCTTGTTTTTCTCATATTTAACCCCAGCTTTGCTAGTGTTTGTAACTATGGAATGTATCCATGGCATTTGCACTCGGGCGCTCTCCAACAATTCATCATTATTGAAAGTTCTCAAGCCCAAAGGATCTCTGTTATATCTACCAGCCGATTTTCCTTTGCTATATTGGGTTAGCTCATTCTTTAGAATACCACTAACTGCATTTAAGATTGCCCTTTTAAACGGCGAAAACTTGAGGGAAGAGTTTGCTGCAGCCTTATAGTTTTCTAGGCAAAGGTTTTTCACCATGGCAAGTTCCCATTTGTCCTCACAGCTTCGTTCGATCACTCGACAAGATTGTGGATAACAAATAAATATCTACAAGGAGAAAAATACTTTCGTAAACCAACATAAAACAATAAGAAAACTTACTTCTGTTTATCTATTTACTGTATGGTTTTTCTTTCTGTTATGTTTTGCTTACCTTCACAATCGGCGGTAAACTACTTTCCACACCACAAAGATTGGTTGGAATGTTCATCAAGCTTGTTATTGTCTCAGTAACGTCAGTAACATTTGATGGTTCGTGCTCTGAAGTATTTTCTTCTGTTGATTTCTCATTTCCAACTACTAGTATAGATCTCTTGGATCGTGGCACTGTTCTGTCTCGATATGTTTGGTTTTCTGGGCGCTTTTGACGCTTGGCCGAAGGTGTAAGGCCCGTAGGAGATCCTCGTTAATTCTATTTTGAGTTTTTTCAGGGGTCTGTGGAACCTCGGAGGTCTCCACAAATACAGCTCGCAGTTCCTGGAAAAGTTTGTAACAATTTACAATCTTTCTAGCGCATTTCTTGCAAACACAATTGCGATAACCTGGAACAAATATTCCGATTCTTTTCAACAAGTTTCCTAATACGACCGGTTTTCCGCCTAACACGCTTGAAAATTCTTTGTTGGATGTTTCCAGAAATAGAGATACGGAAGCCACACAAGTACCGAATTTAGTAAGTAAGTTTTCTTGGCATATTTCGCAAATTTTTCGCTTCGAACTCGACATATTGAGTCATTGACAAAAAAAAGCCATTATTTACATACTACATAGCATACAACCGGAAGTATACTACTTTCAGAACTGGAAGCATAATACAATCGGAAGTAATTCTGATTGGCTGCTATTATAAGAGAAGCGTATGTCATTTTAAGGGGCGGGGAAAGCTTAAAACCGGCTTTCGTGTCAGGCTTTCCTTTCCCCTCAAAAAGCCTGATACTAAGGTTAGTGTTACAGTAGTAATTTTTGCTCTCTAGTTTTACTTTATTTAGTTTGTTTGAATATATTTTATATTGATTTACTTTCTCTATATTGTTGCTATGAAAATGGGTCCTATACATTTTTTGTTTAGTTTTTATGGATTTTAATATTCCATCAGTAATCCAGGGTTTGATTAGTTGCTTTTTCTTGCTGATTGATGCTTGTTGTAAAGGAACATGTTCATTTACCAAATCTTGGATAACATTTATTATATTTACGGTAGATTGGTTAAGATTGCCAGTTGTGCTAAGTAGTGAATTCCAGTTAATATTTTGCATGTCATTTATATATGCTTCTTTACTAAAATGTTTGTAATCTCTATAAAATATTTTTGCATTTTTTTTTGCATGCATTTTTTTTGTGATGCAGAATACTGGAAGATGGTCGGATATGTCCAACAGACCAATACCGGTTGTTATATTTGAGATTGGTACATTTGTGTAGATATGGTCTATCAAAGTCTTAGTATGGTCGGTTAGTCGTGTTGGTTTGGTAATAACAGGGGTTATATTATTAGAGTAAAGCATGTCTAAATACTTTTCAGTTGGTTGATGAGAGTCATATTTCAAAAAATTAATATTAAAATCACCAAGGAGATATATATCATATTTACCCTGATTTAATTTTCTAAGCAACTCTTCCAATTCTTCCATGAATGTATCTAGCTTTGACTTTGGATGTCTGTATATACAACCAACAATAATTTGATTTTTTGCATTGTTCCCACTATCAATTTCAATCCAACAGGATTCAACTAATTCAGTAGAAAATTTGATATCGGTCCTTATGCTTGATTTTAGAGTTTGCGATATATAGATGCCAGCCCCGCCTGCGGCCGTTGGAGAATCTTGGTGATCAAAATTATAGCCTGGTATTTGAGTGTTTACTATAGTATTATTATTTAATCTAGTTTCCGTAAAGGCCAAAATATCAGGCCTATTTGGAAAGTATAAATTAGATCATTAACCAGGTTAAGGTTTTTTGGTAGGCTTCTTACATTGCAACGAAAGAGTTATAAGGACTTTGACCTCTCATTTTCTAATAGTTGATTTAACTTGGTCAAAGAGTAATAATTAGAAGTTATATTACTTAACATAAGGTCAGGATCGTTTTCGTCAAGTTTATTAGGGTTCAGTAATATATCGAACAAGTCAGCTACCAAATCTAAATCCCTCATTCAAATACCGTTTAAGGGAGTGGTCATTATTTATGGGGAGAGGGGGTTGGGATATGGGGAAAATAAGGATTGAAAACTTTTTTGACCCCCCTCCAGACTGAAGGCAAACTTTTTGTGCCTCCCCCTCATAAAAGTAGAAACTTTTCTGACCCCCCCCAGTGTGGATTGAAAAATTAACAGCAATAAAACAGGTGTGCGTTGCAGGTAAAGTTAGATATTAGGACAATCTGTTTAATCTAGCTTATGATGTTTTACCCTGGTGAATATGATTCAACCATATGATTAAAAAATATATATTATGTGTTACTACTTTGCAATGAAACATTTGTCCTACCATAACCCTAACCCATGACCTGTCTTCATACAGCAAAATTATTTGAACACAGGGTTTTTTTAAGAACTTGTCTGGGGGTGGGCATCTACAAAAAGGGACCATACTATATTGAGTGTGGAGAGATGACAGATGGTTGTTGGTGACAAAAAGTTTGGTGTGGTATCATATGTACTATTAGGGGGGTCTGGGGGTATTCTCCCCCAGAAAATGTTTTGTATTTTTCCACCCCTAGAACTGAAATGTGAGCATTCTCTGAAACAGATTTTTGGATATACAGCATTACATTATGCGTTGATAGACCGAATCTGATCAGTTAAGTGTACTTGCATGGTATGTTTATGTAAATACCACAACTGGGTCACTCAGGGGGTAGAAAGCTTGTTAAACTAAGTGGGCCCGACTCCCATGATCGCGAGGCGCTACCATGGTTGGTGCTGCCGAGCAGGGAAATTTTGACAATTTTGAGTCTCTAGATCGTTGGAAATAGCATTTTCAGAGTCTTCTTTTTTGCTATTTGTGATTATAGAAATCAGAACTCTAGACATGGTATTTAAGTTCAAAAACCTTTATGACCCACCCTTTCTCTGTGTTACAACTTTTTTGACCCCCCCTATTTATAAGGGTAAAACTTCATTTGCCCGCCCCTCCCATTTCCCAACCCCCCCCCTCCCCATAAATAATGACCACTCCCTAAGGAATTAAATTCACTATTACTAAGTTCATAGAACAGTAGATGTTGCACCAAGTTGTGGGACAGCTTATTAAATGTCTTGTCTGCCATAATTATTATTAGTTCATATTGTATTAATTAAAGTAAGCTACTGTTGTTGTTGTATCACTAACTACCTTGCAGAAACTCTTCAAATTCCTCTTCTGTTGTAAACCCAAAGACTTGCGAATGTTCAGATTGACGCAGTAATATTTTCCCATTGACTGTCCAGAGATATTTCCATTGGTTATTCTTTTTGAACTCGTTTGTGCGGGCAAATAGTTTTTCCTATAAGGAGTAAGAGACTCGCTTATGAACATATTTTCCGCTCTGTGAATGCTATTTGATTTCTTTCCAGAAAGCTTGCTTCTTTTCTTGTAGAACTCGCCTTTCGTGTCGCGATGCACAAATTTGATGATGAATCTCTCCTTTACTTTTCTTGTCGAGGGTAGACTATGGACTGCTGAAATATGTTCTTGAGTAATTTCAACACCCATTAAATGTCCAAGTTCAACCGTTAATCGTGTTGGATTATCGATAGGTAGCGTCGTAATTCCAGATATTTGAATGCACTCTCGGCGACCATATTGTTCTAGATTGTCAAGTGCAACATTAACTGCATAGTTAGATTCTTCTGCCTTCTCTGTTCTGGTTTCAACGATGTTTACCATCTTCGAGAGGTCTGCAGTTTGCTTCTTGTTATACACAGTTAAAACGTTTACTTCAGATCTTAATTCAGATAATATCATGATTGCGGGTATTCCCTTTGTTTTCGCAGGGCAATTAAAAACTAATACACCTCATTATATTATTTTTTTCTAATCCTACCTGCTTTTACGTCATGTCAGGTAGAATTAGTTCTAATCCTACCCGAAACGACGTCAAAGCGGGTACGATTAGAAAAAATGAATATAAATGAAGATATCTGAAATCGCCAAAACTAAACAAAGACATGGAAAACAATTATACCATTTAATTTATACTATTATTTATTGTTAATTGGTTTTTAATGGCCCTGCGAGAATAACGGGAATACCCGCAATCATGATATTATAAGGTAATAGCATAAAAAGAGGCGAATTAGCTATTGAGAACGTTCCGCCCAATGGGGGTCGTTTAGTAAAATTCCCTTGGGCGCCGCTCGATTCGGGTCATTTACTAAATTTGGGTCATTTACTAAATGACCCTCATCGAGCGGCGCCCAAGGGAATTTTACTAAACGACCCTCATTGGGCGAGACGTTTTAATAGCTAATTCACCTCTTTTTATGCTATTACTTATAATAATTCCGCTTTAATCTCGTTCCTTATACTTGGCAGGAATCGATTCTCCCATAGTTCTATAATTGCTTCTATAGTTAGACTTTTTTCGGTAGACATAGCGGAGCATGTTTGAACACGTCCGCTCACTTCGAAAGCATATTACAACTTCTTTAACGAACAGGCAAATGGAAGCCAAGAGAACAGGCAAATGGAAGTTATCTCTGGAGTTATTTCTTTTATAGTAATGAGGTACAGCCTTTGTGTGAGGCAGGTTTGTCTCTAAGATAGAAAATATAGGCAGGTGATCAGAAATATCAGTGAGAAGAATACCAGAAGAGAATGGCAAAGAAAAATTGTTTGAGAAAATATTATCAATTAATGTTGCAGAATGTGAGGTAATCCTAGTTGGCTGGAAAATTGAAGAATATAATGAATATGATAACATTGTTTCAAAGAAGTCTCTTGTGAGGTTACAGGAATCAATATTTAATAGATTGACATTAAAGTCGCCCATAATATGAACTGATTTATTTTAGTTTTTTAAGATACTTAAAGTTTTATCGATATAGTCGTTAAATTTGTTGAGATCACTCGTATGTTGCCCAAAATAAGTGGTCGTTTTTTGACAAACACGCAAAGCATGCGTTCTATATCAATCACTAAATATGCGATTGTCTTTCACGCGTTCTATCGTTCTATATCAATCACTAAATATGCGATTGTCTTTTACGTTACCTCAGTTATTTGTGTAGCCTACTTTTATCTTTCCATCAAGTTTTACAGTTGCGTCATGTATTTGTTTCAGAAATGTGTCTAGTTTTTAGCATCAAATCAATGTTATAGACATGAATATAGACGCTTGGGAATAGTGTCATCGCCGTCTAAGATTTCATTCTTCGCAAGATTATAGCATTTCAGAAATGTGTCTAGTTTTTAGCATGAAATCTATATTATAGGCCTTATAGACATGACTATAGACGCTTGGGAATAGTGACTTAAAAATATAATTTGACACTGGAAATGAATGACAGATTATGAACTGTGATCGCAGTTAAATTAGCCTGCTCTGATTAAAACGCATTGATTTATTTGGTTCTCACCACTGATCTGTTCTCACATACTCTGCCTGTTAAATTTACTCTGCCATCGATTCCTGTGGCTGTGCTGTATTTCAATATGTCAAATAACAGAAAAAGAAAATCTTGTACGAGCTTCGACTTTGATACAGTTCGTGCTGGCCTTATTGCCAAAGTTAGTCGCATGCGCAAAGTTCAGGAATATATCAATGAATTGCGTGGCATTGAAATGAAGGCCATACTGGAGAAAGACTACGACCTTTGCGAAAATGAGATTTTAAATATAATAGCTGTTAAGCTCACAGTTCAAGGTCTCAATAACATGTGAAAGTCTCTGCAACATGTTCCCACGAACATCACTCGTATTGTGGATGGCACATCGATGCGTCATGAACTGGTATTGGGTATTGTTAAAAGTATATCTGGCGAACCAAACAACGCAATTTCAATGGATGATTTGATGTTGTTTGCCAACGTACTCGAGAAGAATTGCTCTACATTCATGAGCCAGAAAGGCGATTTTCCGTCAAACAAGTTAAAAAAGTATTTATCTCCTCCCGTTTCGACATGTATTAATTGTGACAAAAAGTTATCAATGCGCAATAACCCATCATCTGCGATTCTTTTCACTTTAAACGATCCTGTTTGTTGTCGGAAAGTGTCTTTAGAATGCAGAGATTGCTCGATCAAGTATGGAGTGTGCAAGTACTCTGATGAACATGGTGCTCGATACTACCAGAGTCATTTGACGCTTGATATCATTGAAGTAAGCAACGTGACATACATCCATAAGGACTTATACAAATGGATGCCATCTTTAAGGTATCATTTTTTCTCATATACTTCTTAACAGTTTTACAAACCATTTATATATATTTAACCGATACAATTAAATATTTCCAATATAAATGGATTCATGCATAACAAACAATTCGTGATTAATTTACAATTAGGATACATGTTCATGTATTGTTACAATATGACCTAGCTCATAGATTGGATTTAATTATAAATTATGCACTTAAAGTAACAACACTGGACTAGTCAAAACTACGCGCGTATAGTGGTGCAGAAATTTGGTAAAATTGGTGTCGAAAATCTTAGAAGCCTTTTAATAAACGTCCTATATTTAGTTTTTTGCGATCTTTCTAACGATACAGGTGATATTTGGTAAAAGTAAGACATTGAAATTTCACAAAATTTTGTGGCTACCAGGAGCTAATCTGTAATGCCCTATAGCCAAAAAAATCTTGGCTTAGGTTATACCCTAACATGCCAAGTTGTGTGCTTGTATCATCAAATGCACAATTTTGCCACCAATCTGCTACACTATTAGCCTGCCCCTGAACATAGGTAGGGCACATAGGCTAGGCACATGGGGGATCATTGCCAGTTAATGGGTTTAAAATATGATGCAGGGCATAATATCAGCCTTCAATTCTGATGTGTTTTTGTGATTTATTTTACAGCAATCATTGTTGGGTATCATTCAGTGGCTTTGCTGAGGCCTACAATGAAATTTACCAGGAAGAAATAAAGTTGTATTCCTCACTTGTAGATGGTTAGTGTTCACTTACAACTTAGTGGATTTATTGGCTAATTTTTTTATTAATTTTGTTTAATTTCAAGTACGAGTATGCAGCCTTTGTTCCTTCTAAAATGTACTGCACTCAAATTTATCTATACACTCAACCCTAGTACCATTATGAAACCAGTTCTAATATAACTGGTGTGGCATCAATAGAGGTACCTAGTGGGAGTGAAAATGAAGTACAGTAATCAGAATTATAAGAAACACATAAAACTAAGACACTGACTCAAACAAATATATATGCACATTGCCACATAAAGGGTTAACACCAAATTTAATATAAAAGACGTGCATCAATTAACTGGCAAGTTTTTAGTATAATGCAGATTTTAGTATGTCACAGAAATCCACTCCCTCCCCCTTTTGCCTTTCCCAAATGGGTGAAATAAACTTAGCAATTTCTCCTGGATCCCAGAGGACATTTGCCTCTAATATCCCTTATATCCATCCTGTTTCTCCTTGAATGTCCCAGGGTTGTACCCCCAGGGATGGCCAATGATAGGTGCATTATATGAAAAAATATGTACTTAAAGAGGGGCTCTACAGTAATTTTTTAGTCAAGTAAGTATTGTTTACATTTTTTTGTTATTGTTGCTACTTGACATGCACATCACGGCATGCATGTGTCTTCCGGTGTGCGAAAGTACTCATACTCATGGGTACTGCATGTAAGATACAGCCAAACGAATCTCCATGGAGTCCCCTACTTAAGGTGGCTTTTCGACTAAAAATGATTGTAGGGCCCCTTTAACATCCCAAATATGATATATACTGTAAATTTATTAACAGAAAAGAAATCCAGCAATGAAGAGAGTCATTGTTTCAATGATGGTTAAAATGATGATGGTGATAATAATAAAGGTTACTAATGAAACAATATGATCAATTGAAAATATTCTTATGATTTTGATACAATATCAGACATCTGAAAACAATTATGAAAATATTGATATTTGCACATTTTGGAAAGTCCTGTATGCCTAATTGTGAATTATATACTAATTAACTATGTACCCTATTTTCAGTTTTGACCTATTTTGTGTCTTCACATTTTCCTATTTACTCAACTGGTCTTTGCATTAAAGGCATTAAAGGCCACTAGGTACTAGTTTGTCTGTAGCTTTCAAGTGTTTTACATAACATACATAATTTAACCTAAGATGAAAATCATTACATTAGATCTTGACATATACTTTTTATTCTTAATTAGGTATTCTTCCTGGAGAGATGTCTGCAAAAGCAATTGCTAAATGCTTCTGGAACCATGAGACAGAATTAGAGCTTGACATTCATGGGTTACGGGAGGAATGGCTTTTCAAACCTGAGAAAAATGGTTCCCTTACAGGCAATGTAGATGAAGTGATGGAATATGTTGACAAAAGTCGTTGTGGGGAATTGTATGCTCATAAATGTTCAGCTAGTTGTCAAGAGAAAGGTAGTTAAAAAATTATACAAGTATACAATTTTAAACCTAAGCAGGAGCAGTTTTGAAAAATACAAATATAGGCCCTCTGGTAGGACTTTAACATGTAGAATTGCAGGGCCGCACAAACACCGACTATGATAGAATAAGCTCACCATCCATATCTTTCCATCCTTAAAAATTTACAATCACTCTAGGATGTGGGAAGCTCTATGTTGCTGATGGCAACTGGAAGCTTAGATATGCTCACTGTATGTGGAAAGTGCCAGTTGAGATTGAAGGTTTTGGTAGTGTAAACTATCCCAGAATCTGTCCTCTTTCACCACAACGAGGCCATGCCTTCCGTGGGGACCACTGTAAGAAGGCTCAGGTCTTGGGATATCCAACAAAGACAAAATAATTTTTTGAAAGATGTGGAATTGTGGACTCAACTGTGGAAGAAGGTGATTTTTAATTGTTAACCATTACCCAATGAGCCTACTTTAATATAATATTTTACTTTGTCCAATGCCAGACAATTTTACTCATCAATGGAATAATACTGGCAGTTAACATTTCCTCGAGAATACAAAAAATCTCCCTATTACAAAATTTGGCAGGGTCACAACAACAGCATATTACCAAATAGTGTGGGCCCAAAAATAAAATTCCCAGTAGTAAAATTCCTCAATTCCTGCATGTATTCAGTATATTGGACATTATGTGTATGTTGAATTTTGGTCTAGGATATTATAAATAATATTTGAATTCTATTTTGTTGAAAATATGCTTCTTTCTGTCAGTTCACTCTAAAATTCTTTAATAGGAGTGAGGTAGGATGGCTGATTCTAGGCATGCTGTACAAGTTTTTACTAAATCTATTTTTTTCAGCATTGGATGAAATGTCTTCAAAACCTTTATTGTCAGGTTTGATTAAAATTGCAATTTCTAAATTTTGCTGCTTGTCCATCAACAAATTTTCAGAACACCAGTTTAAATAATTAATGTAATTATCAAATAGCACTCCACTCTCCAGTCTAGTACCTTTATCTGATGCTAAAGTCAAACAGAGCATTTTAGAAACATTTTTTTGCATGATTTTTGGTAAATGAGTAAAAGAAATGCTATGCCTATAAACGGCAATTTGTTGTGATCATTCTCTTGGTTACTTGAAGTACTGTATATGGTAATTGAGTGAGAAGACTATTATGAATACTTAATTGTTAGTACGCTTTCAGTTTTATGCTCTATTTGTAGATGTCTCATTTGAAGCTGTCAACAATTACCTTGATACTGTTGCAAAGTATTCAAGTCCATCAAGCAAGAATCTGGCTAATGCTACTACGTTTCAAGGTACCGTACTGTAAAGTGTAATATTTTAAGGCAATGTTTGATATGGATGAAGATGATTTTCAGACTATTAGCCATGTCACATCACATGCTTCTTTCAGGAACAGAAGAATTTATTGCAAAAAATCCAAATTTCTTGGAAATCAAAGACGCAGGAGAAAAAGCAGCAGGTTTTATTTGCAATAAGGACACAGGTGGATTGAAAACCTTCCACTTTTATAGTCAGCGCGGGTGGACATATAGAATACTGGCAACCTTTGTACAGGTACTGTACAATGGAACTAAATACCGTCAAACATTTTAGGAAAATATGGGATAAAAAAGCATTGATCTTATGCACTTGTCATCGGAGACACCACCCCCCGGACTTAGAATTGTAAACATGCAAAAATATGTAGGTGCGGTCATAGCCGTTTACAGCAGTGGTGGTGATTCCACAGTTTGGTGAGTTCCGTATTATTTTCCATGTTTGAAACTTTTAATTGATACATTGTTCTAGAAGGGCCTTTTGCTTGCCCCTATGGCTGGGGTTTGTCTTTCAGTTGCTAAAAAGGTCTATGACTATAGCCCATGTTTCCCTGTGGTGGGGGTTTCCCATAACAAGTGCATTATACTGTATATAGATCATGTGACTAAGTCAAACCTCTGGCCATTATTTTTGTTGTTTTAGATCGGAGTCGCCAACGCAAGCGTACCTCATAACAATTTTGTGGCTTTATGGAAAATTTAAACATTTAATTGATGCTGGATGGAGCGACGATGCTATTCGTGATGAGCTATCATCAATAGTCCTGGCTTATGACAACATGTGCCATCTCGATGGCTTGCTTGTTTCAAAAAGGAAGTTACCTCTTCCCAAACCATTTGACGAGGCTTGGGAATGCATTGGAAAATGTATTGACCGTTTACACTTGCGTAACCACGTTGATCCAAAATGTAAGGAGCTGTATGATCCAGATGACAAAGTCCCCAAGGGCTACAACACAATGGCTTGCGAACAAACATTCATTTGGGCAAGTAGGTACAAGAGAGTCATGTGTGCTATGCCTCACCTTCACCAGTTTTTCTTTTTACATCGAGTGGTACAATACAGGAACAGATACACAGAAATATGTCATGAAAACCGGAAAATAGCAATCCTCCCCAAGAAATAAACATTTACTCGTGGTGTAAAATTATTGTTGCTCTTCAATGTTATATACAGATTATATAATCTGGGTTCCTCAAAAAAAACTATAGTATAGGCGAGCATAGCCTGTTTGATTTCCTGTAACATGAAAACTATAAAAGCGGAGGGTTTAAATTGCAGGTGTGATATTCTAGTACAAGATCAAAACTTGACATTCATGAACAGGTGTGAAGCACACAAAAAATTTTATCACTTGTCACTCTTTGCGAGAAATGTTCACCATATTTAATTCTTAACTCAAAAACACCGGATATCCCATATTATCAATAGTTTCCCACCAAAACATGTGGTCACAGACTGAGTAGGTACATATAGTAGGTACATGGTAGGTACATAATAGGTACGTGCATAGTAGGTACATAATACCTACTCTGTGATCACATGTTTTGGGAAAACCATTGGCAATAGGGATATCCACAGGCGGCCCAATCTCAGAATGAATGATCAGGTGTTGCGGGTTTTTAACAGTTTTTATAAACAAATTTTATAGTCAACCAAAACTATTTAAAAAACATTCTTAAATTAGTCAAATAAATACATTTTAACAATAAAATATAGTTGACATAATAGTATAATACCTTTGCATTCTTTTAATTACTCCATGAACTCATTTAGAGCGGTTGATGTAACATTTTCTGTGGCTTACATTGTGTGTGCTCATCTATATATAATATACCAGTAAAAGGCTAATCACTGGCGGCACGACCGCATCGCCTTCAAAGTCAAATATCTCTGCTCAAACTTCTCGTACGCCAAAACTAATTCGATTACATCTTTTCACAAAGATTTCTCTTTCTAAATAATATGGTTTGATCGTAGCTTGAGCAAATTTAGCGACAAACGGAGCCAAAATCTCCTCAATTTCAGATACTGTTCAAAATACTTATGGCTGCTCGGGCACGATCGTGGACGTGACGTAATAAGTACTGCCTTACGCGGGGTGGGACAGCAGTCAAATTTGTCCCTACTCGGGATGGGAGGAAACCAAATTCGTCGCGTGATTAATATTAATTTGAATCTGTATTTGAATGAGAATGGGTATTTGTTCTAAAGAAACGCAACAATTCATTGCGGGTTTGGAAAGAGAACTTTCGTTAGAAGTCAGAAAATATGCTATTCATATTTTCTTTCGGAAAGTAAATGCCCATATTTTTAATATGCAGAAGATTATCGAACTTCCAGGAGAGCTGTTATCGTTTGACGCGGTGTTTGAAAACGGACTGTCAGAAAGTATGACATGGCCCGGTTATCGCCGTATACAGTTGAAGCCCAACTGCAAAATAATGCTGGTCTGGAATAAGTCTGCCCAACTTTCCAATGGTCGTGTGGGTTCTTTTATCTGCGTTAAAGGCGATGTCCTTTTGGTTTATTTTGAAAATGTTGGGGTAGTTGAAATATGTAGAGAAACCTGGATTAAACGAAATCGTCTTGGTGAGAGAATCGGAAGTGTTTCGCAGTTTCCCATTATCTTGGCTTATGCAATCACTTGTCATAAATCCCAGGGACTAACACTTCCAGCTGCTGTAATACATTGCAGCCAAGAATATGTTCCAGTGTTGATCTACGTTGCAATTTCCAGAGTGCGGGTGCCCAATAAAATCCAGGTGTTGAATTTTGATGCAAATCAACTTGTTAAACCATCTCCAGATGTTATTGAACACTCAAGAACGCACAACACAATTCATCTAGCCGAAGATTTGTCGTGTTGTCGAAAGCAGATTTTAAGCGAAGACAAGTGTTTCGATGTACATGATCGATTTTCCTCAGAAAAAGAAGCAAATGGCGATGATCAGTTTTACTTTCCGACTTGCATGTTTGACAAACCGGTAAACGAAAGTTTTGAAGATGATATAGATCCTATCTCAATCGAACTCGTTGAGGTTTATGAACAACTAGAACAACATAAATCAGATTTAGGTTTGCCTCCTGAAGAATGTGTCAATGAAGCTAAAAACTACCTCGGTTCATTAACATCATGTGAGACTACTACTAGTTATATTGAACTGGAAAACTCTGCTGTCAACTTTCTTCTGACGGAGGACACCTCTTGGAAGTTAGAAGCTTTCATTTCGATTGTATGGCATGAGGCATACAAGTTGATTCGTAGCCATATTGTCGAAACAGGCGACCAGGCTGTAACCTTTAACTTACAAAGACCGCATTTCACTGCGGCTACTTCTGGGATGCACGCGTTTTTTACTAGCGTCAAATTTTCAACGTATTTGTGTGCTATATTTACTGCCAGCGATAAGTTACCGACAGCACCGCAAAGATCGATTGCAGTTAAATTATCCATAGAGATATATTATAATTTTTTGCATTATTTAACAAGTTTGATTAACCAACATCGCGATTGTTCTGAAGTGCCATTACAAGTACAAGAAATGAGTGCCGTAGGTCGATCCAAGGTTCGCCATGTTGGTGGATTGGCTTTACGTAAAATTCTTACGAAATACAGAAAGTATGTTCATACGAACATGTTCTCGACCAATAGATCTACCATGGCAAATGTGCATAAGAGACAACATCTATGTGATTTGCTAGAGAGTGTAATAATTCCTTTTGCTAAGTTGACAGAAGATACAATGTTCCCAGAGACACTCGAGGTGATTGAAGATCGGCAATACAGAGAAAAGGGACTTCTTCATATTTCAGATCAAGCGTATCTGTTCTTCATGGCCATGGAAGTAGAATTGAACAACCTGCCAAATTAAACCAGACTAAACCAAATTAAACCAGACAAATTGGGCGTATGCTTAGACTGTAAGAAAGCCATTCCAGTAAGAACCAATCATGTGTCGAGAACTCTGAATCTTTTATGTTTTGGAAAACTTTTCCAAGCCCAGCCAATAGAAATCATTCTATTGGAAAGGTTTACTGATTCTGTCCAATGAGATAGCTGTATTAAACTATAGCCTTAGGTAAAATATTTCAAGTATGACATTTGATATTTAGATCTGTCAAGTCATTTCCTATTAATTAAGATTTAAGCTTGATATTCTCACAGAAGGTTCTCATCAATCAATATACTTGTCAACTGACACTTTATATTAATAATTATCCTGTTGATTATATTATGAGCTGTAAGTTTGACTCCCAAAGATGAATAATTAACATATATCATGATACTAATAACAACCAATAAGGAACATCGCAATTTCATGTGTATAACTTGAGTTACTTGACTGATATGTTTTATTATATTTAATTATATAATATAGATAACTGTACGATAAAATTTAGTGTGAGACTGTTCTGTTTTTCAATGCTTTAGCAAAACTTCATACTTGTCGGAACAAAGGATATATAAATATAGCCTGTCACCCGCAACTATACATTCCCTCCTTTATTACAGTCGGTTCAAATTGTTTGCATATTGCCTTAAACCGCGCATGCTTTAACATAATGCTGCCTACAAGAGATATATAAAAGAGGTTTATTCATCCAGTGAATGTTTTGCATATCACGGTATGTGCTGTATTTAACATGCCGTATCATATTTCGAATCGCCGCAAATAATGTTAAGCACACTTCATGAATACTAGGATAATATAGTTATTATATAGACACACCATGGTTGGCATAGCCTTGTACTATTTAATTCGTAGTGAAACTAAACTAACTTTGAATGAATGTATTACGTACGGCACTATATAGCTATATGCAATATATTCAATAATCACAGTAATTGTCTTCGACATTCGTGCCATCTCGTTCATGGCGGGAAAGAAAAATACCTTTACCTAATCATGTTAGATACTGCTTTGTGAAGTGCTAAATCTTAAATATACGGTAATAGAGAAAGAGTAAACGATGTACCTGTACGAAATTCCACCAGTCTCATTGTGAGTCGTTGAGTATTTTATATTTCCAATTCTGCATACGAGAACACGTTCCTGCCGATATTACGTATTTATATCTTGCGGTATACGCATCGTGATGCGTCAGTAAACGGTGGCATCGCTGCAATAGTCTGCCGCCTTATAACGTCGTATTGTTTCGACGGTTTCTGTCCTTTCTATCTGAGCTTTTAAACTGCTGGTTATATAACATATGGTGTACATTTTCATTATAAAGTACTCACTGTCCGCATTGACGCTATACTTGCAATGTGTCGTTCAGAAAGTTGAAATCAGAAAAACAGCATCTATAGATATATTAGCTTGAAAACGCTTTGCTATTTGCTAATTTTTGGAAAGTTTTCTTTCACGTTCCAACGTATTGGTTCATTGTGGAAAGGTTTTCTTTAATGCGTTGTTTTATTCGCCGGTTTCGGAAATGTTTTCTTTAAGACGTTACTCTATTGGTCAAGCTTGGAAAGGCTTTCATGAAATAGATATTGACCAGATCTATATGTCGTTGCTGATTTTACCAATTAGACAAATTTAATCACGCATTATTTGAATCTCATTAAAGATTGAGGAGTTTGTTCATAGATTACTCAGTGGCGATAATCAGTATGATTTTCATTTACATATAAAAAAAACCTACTGAGTGAGGATTTGTTTGAAAGTTTATTAATAGGCTCTTGCGTTATTTTGGAAAACCATTTATTTGAAAACGCTTTGCTATTTGCTTATTTTGGGAAAGATTTCTTTCACGTGTCAACGTATTAGTTCATTTTGTAAAGGTTTCTTTAATTTTTAATGCATCTGAAAATTTATTGGTAGGCTCTTGCTATCTTTGTGGTTATTATTCTTATATGGTTGGTGTGAAATTTTGCCGCATTTTAGGGAGCGGTCATTATTTATGCTGGGGGTGGCACCGAATAGAAAAGGAATGGGTAAACAAAATTTCGAGTGAGTAAAAGGTGGGTAAATGATGAACAAAATAACTCAAGGGTTGGGTAATAAAAATTTATTGTCATTTTCAAAGTATGACTCACTGAAATATTGGAGACTGAAAACCAACGTCAACAGTCATTTGTCAATACAATATATATGCGAATCAATTAAGAGTCACTATCTTAATCATTTTCCGATTTGTTGTCTCCAAAGAAAGTACATGTGCCGACAACATGAATCTTTAGGCTGCAGAAAATTTCACAAGCCGTTAATGATCAAACTCGTGTCACAGAAGTGGTAAAGGACATGTGTGACAACTAAATGGGTATTTATTTTTTAATTGATATTTGAAGTTGGGAAATCAAATTTTTGACTTTTTAATGGTTGTGTCAGCAAACTTATTGCCACGAAAAATATTTCTCTTCTGTGTCACCCCCGCCATAAATAATGACCGCTCAAATGTAAAATATAATCGAGTTGGGTGTGGCTGGTTGCATAAAACTTTTAACTACTTTCTAAATACTACTTTGAAGTTAAATGGCAGTTAGCTCTAAAATAATCCATTTGGTTTGGCTAACTTTCGTACTAACTCACTCTGTAGGTTAAACAGTTTAACTAATTGTATAACAACGGAACCTGAAATTTCCTAGGAAGGCGGTTAAAGTCCATACAGAGGATGTGCAGTAAATATAATGCACTTAGTTAATATCTAACATCCTTCTGGTTTGCTATGCTTTCAAATAAATCTAGATTAGAGGTTTAATTTAGAAGATCACGAAACAACGCGAAATTTAGGTATTGTTCACATCAGAGTGTCCTCACATAGCACATGCGCAGAACAGACTTAACCTCATCTTTAATAGCGTCTACTCGCATATAATTCGAATTATTACGAGTTATCTTCCAGCTACGGTCAATCGATAACTTTATTTAAACACGCTAACCTTACTTGATTGCTACAAATTACGTGTAAAATAATTAAATACAAAGGGCGTTCATCATAGCGAGGTACATTGAGTAGTGCTTTTGTTTATATATTTATTTATTTATTTAGCTTTGCCAACTACAATCGTGGACATAACTAATTGTTAATAAAATCTTAATTTGCCTCTGTGAGAGTTTAAATTGTAGATTGATTCCTGTATTTTGTCTAAAACATCCCACCCCCTTCCCCCCAACACAATGTTGTTGAACTACGTTTAAAATGAGATGAAAATTATGGCAACATTGGGTGGGGAAGGGGGGGAGACCTATATGAAGTAATTTGATTGTATTTTCCTAAAATATCGATCGATTTATTAACACTTTTGTCATGCATGATTGTCTCCAATAAATGGCAGTTTTCCCAGTTAAAATTCAATCAGCTGCCGAGGGCTTTACGGTTCACAATGTTTATTCCTTTCAGCCGATATTTATAAGCTTCAAAACGAGACAAAAACATTACTTTTTGACCGTATGTGCTTCTTAAACAAAAAACGCTGATTAACACTATATGTTAATTTAAGCAGATAGATTTGCAAGTGCTTTTGATGCAACCAACATGCATGTGCAGCCATAAACTTAGAGTTTGGAGAAGGCTTGGTGAAAAATACCTTACACAAATTAATTGTGCATCTTCTGCTCTTGCTAACTGTACATGTCGTATTAAATAACTTTATATCGTAGTTTGGGGCGAATATCAACCTCTGCTTTCACTAGGGACGAGCCGATTAATCGGCCAAATAATCGGTAATTTATTTATTTATTTAGCTTCGCCTTGACAAAAAACGTACACAATACAAGTACAACAATTCATATATACATGAGACATAACAAGAGGCGGGGACACCACAACAGTTTACACCAATTACTGTGGGCCCTTTAGTTAAAATTAGTGACAAGATACGGACGAAGAAAAAATCAACTAATTAGTCTAGTAGCAACAGGCCGATCGGCATCGATTAGATTGCGCGATGTGTTGCACTTCAGGAAAACAGTTTTCCATGTTCGAGTATCATCCACGTCGCAACAAGATACAAGGGCATTATGGTAGTATTCTAATAGGCCGATTATTAATAATCATTAATAATAATAATAATTATTATTATTAATCGGTCGATTATTTCTGTATATAATCGGCCATTTGCCGATTATTGACCAGTTTCTTTTTTCTATTAGAAATAAATGAAAATCTGTGCATTCATTGTGTTTTTTGCACATGTTTTACAATCTTTTCACGTTATAGAGCGGCATGCAGCTGCTATACAAATACGTACAAATAAGATCTTGCATTTATCTCACCTCTTCATCGGAAATGCAATTATTAAGTACGAAAATTAACACTTATACATGTAACCCCCATGACCGGAAAACATTGTGTAAGTACGGAAGACTATAAAATGAGACAAAAGAGAATGTGATGAAAAAGAAGTGGAAAACTTTTCAATTTGTATCCAGCTTTAGAAAGAAGGAAGAAGTGCTTTGCTACATTACTTAGCTTCTCAAGTTTCATTTTAATGCTTAAAAGCATATGAGGTTCATCAGGACAACCAACGCCTACTGGTAAATGTGTCAATGGAATAATCGGCTTTGGCCGATTACTCGGCCGATTATTTGATATTATCGATCACCGATTAATCGAATCGGCTAATCGGCAATTTCACTGATCGGCTCATCCCTAGATTTCACGTCACGCTGAACGGTTAACCATGGTTAACCGTGATGGTTAACCACCGACAATAATGAGAAATGTTATGTCAGTTGCTGGCATATACTTGTGTAGACATTGTAGCATTTTTGACATTTCCAGAAAATGCAGGATTGTATCAGAGAAGATCAAGTTGTCACAACTGCGAATTGTGCAGAAATACGATGTTCAACTACATTTAATATCTTTATCAATATTATGGTGAACCGTGCTTAAAAGCCCAAATAAGCAAATGATAACCATA